TACCGAGTTTTATTTTTTATTAGTTGTTTTCAGGCTTGTAGCTATAAATTTTTTAGTGGAATACCTTAAGTCATTCTTGTATCGTAGACGCTGCACGATTAACAGGTTTCATAAAATTTGTAAATGATTCTGATTAATATTTTGGCATTAAATATATTTTTAATACTTGAGCAAATGCATATAAACATGAACAAATATTCGAATGAATCTGTTGCAAAATTATAAAAGTTTGACTTGAAAATTAATTTTACTTTCGTTGTATTAAAATATTATCTAGCTTCGTAGCAAGGCTATATTTTCTGTATTCTTAAATGTTTTAAAAAACTGAAGATTCTTGCGAAAATATATTTTCTTATGGTTGAAACTGGAGTTCCATTCACATTTATCAGTTGTTCAACTAAAATAAGAGATTGAACTTATTCAATATAATTTTGGTTAAAATGAAGATTTCGATTTTGACTGGGTTCTAGAGTACATCAAGTCTAAGAATTGCTGAAATTAAACCCATATCTTTTTGATCAACTTTTTCCGAAATTTAAGGATACTCTTAATTCTCTTAATGAATTTGTCTAAGTGGTTTTTAATAGTTGCTTCGAACATAAGATTTACTATTTTCTTTTATTTTGTTTGATGAATAGCATACTTCACATAGTCGATAAGCAATCCAATCGTGATTTCATAATCATTAATTACAAGTAGCTCCTATTCCTAACCAAAAACTTCTCATGCAAGAATGGTAGTATGCAGTACTCAGACTATATATTATTTCTTTTATACGTATCAAGGACTCTAGTGATCAATAAAATATTACTTTCTACTGAATTATAGGCCTAAAAAATATGCCAATTTAATCATATTTTACGAGCCAAAAATATTTTCTTCTATTTTCAAATTTGTTAAAAATGTTTTCAACAAAATGAATGAAAACTCAAAAAAATTCATACAATATTTACTATATGAAACAAACTTTTCTGTCAATCGAGATCATCTAGATTGGACAGAACGATACGTAAACAACCTAAAACGTTATCAATACTCGAAAAAGCGGTGTTTCTAATAAATAATCGTATACGATCTTGAGATGGCGACGACTATCATATGATCAATAATTTTCGTACGGTCTTTGGAAAGAATACCTTAATTCCTATGGTAGTAAGTAGATATATTTAAAAAACTATATTAAAAAAAATGAAAATGATATATAACATAATTCTCTACATAATTATGTTTTCGGACTCGGTTCTGAATTAACCTGATAAATCTTGTGATTAAAGTATAATTACAGTTTAAGAGAATGACTAATTAAGTTTTTTTTTATCTATTCGGTTTTGTAGCGAATATTGAGAACGAAGATTGATGCCAATAAAAGAAATAAAGACCTACCGCGTAATTTAATTCAATCAGAATTTTTGTTTTCGAATCATTTTACGAGACAGTAGAAAAAAAACGATGGCTTTTAAATCATAACACTAAATTGAAAAGAGATTCAAAATAAATATGTTTCGGCGTTGCTTCAAATTTCAGAAATTAGATTTAATATCGATATTTTTCATATGTTAATATTTCTATGTAATCGTTAATGAATTCGATCTCCTCATTCAGAAGAATTTATCTGTATTAATATATTTTTTTCTTTCTCAATTAGTACCTTTTGACTATGAAAACGCACGAAAGATTATATTTGATGAAATCTCGTGAGTTATTTCGTGTTAAGCTGTTTCTAAGAAGAAGAAAGTGTGTACAGTTTCGTTAGAAATAAGTTCTTAACACGTTTTCATGAAAAAGTAACATCTTTTGTCTTTTAATCATTCAATATTTATCGCTTTTTACATGAATGATTTGTATAAGTTATGGAAAACAAATTTCGACACGTCGTCTTATTATCCGACAATACTTTGACGAATTCATTCGAGGCTAGCAACCAATATGTAAATCGAATATCAATTTAGTGTTGTAGAACTCATTTGCAATGATATTAATATTTGTTTAGATCCAAAACAATTGGATACTAAATTTGGCGATGGTGCCAAATGAAAATCTACTTGTCTGATATTAGAAGTTTCACTTATTCTCTATTTTTTTTTCTTGTATACTTTCTTTTAGCTCTTCATTGTTTGTCTCCTCATATGTTGTTTATGTATTATGGTTAAATTTTTTGTTTGTTTTTGATAATGTAAAATAGAATCCATATAATCAAAAATATTGTATTAATGAAAGTGTTTCTCGTGCGAAAAAACTTCTATGACTATTATCTGTCGGTTTGACTTTCCTATTACATGAAATAATTTGTTACTATCTTATCGTGATGAAAATAAATTAATGAATCAACTGAACAGGAGATATCTATTTTCTGTTAATTTTAAAAAACTTTGAACCGTTTTTTGATTTTTAATTTAAATTTAAAAATAACCGTAAATTCTCATAAGTTAAATTTATTGAAATTTTTAATTCTCGATGATTTAATGAATTTCAAACTTGAACTATTTGCATTTCCTCATTAAGAATACAAAAAATATATCATACATCAAGTTTCAAAAAAAGTAGAATAATTTTAAATTAAAAGTTTTGATATTCTAAGTTCTACAAAAATTTAATTGAAAACAAATATAAATTTACACATCTAGAACTGAAAGTAGATGGACACATTAATGCAGAGTTATAGAATTAAAACGTATATGCAAAGTTAGAAACGTCAATCGGCTTGGTTTGGCCTGCACGTGCTTCTGTTTTAAATATGATTAAACATATATAGGAGGACATGTCTATCCAGGTCGAATCTCTCCAACAGTATCCAACGCTTTCCCACTGTCGAAAACCATCAGATATCGAATATTCTATAGACATTCAGTGATGTAGGCACACGGATGAAACATCTCAAAAAATGAAAGCTGACAGTATAATAAAACTGCAGTAGTTCTTATGTATCGCCCATTTATGAGGAAAGAATAGTCGAAATAGAAAAAAGGATGTGTATGTGTATCTTTGTCCTCTCAAATTCACATCTCTCGAGTGACGTGATTTAAATTGAATATTTAACTCGGATTTACTTTGGAGTTCACTGAATATATTTTTCTAGTTTCTATAAATTTCCACTCGCGCACGAAAACAAAACCAAGATATTTGTTCAAAAGTGTCCTAAGAAATAAGTGCAATAATATGATACTAAACCACCATTAGAGTCCTGCAGGGCAGAGTAGGGCAGGGAAGGTGAAGGTTACAAAAAAAATATTTAGGGTAAAGGTGTAAAGGTAGGATGTAGCTCATACGAATGAAATTTTTGATAGAGTAGAACTTAATATATATTTCTGACATCTTTTTGATCAAAAACAGTGTAAAGAGTGATATCATCATCTAAATCGAATGGGTAGAATAACAACGAACGGAAAACAATGGCCTATTGTTTAGTACTATTTTTTACATAAGCTGACGAGTTCAATCACTTTTGATTATTTGTCGAGTAAATGTGCATGTAAATGTAATAAAAAATGTCTTCGAAATCATCTCGACATGAACGTATTGTTAGTACAAACGGGCGAGTTTTGGAAGAGAGAAGGCAAAATTTAAGTGGTGATGTTGTAAATGACATTTTATTTTTAAGAAACTTTCGAAATATTTATTAATCTTGTATTTGATTCTCGTTGAAAATCAATAAAATATATTGAAACAAAGTGAAGAAAAACTTCACGCTGACTTTTACTTGGACCTGAAACTCTAAGGATATGATAGGGTATAAAATGAAAAATCTCTGTGATAGGGTAGGTAAGGGTACAAAGCCCCTATGGCTGGGTAGGGCAAGGTTACAAAATCTATAGGCAAGGCTAGGGTAAGAACGTCGTAGGATAGGGCAGGGCAAGGGTACGAAGTTTTACGATAGGGCAGGGTTAGGGTACAAAAAAGTCATAACCTGCAGGACTCTAACCACCATCTGCATATGCGTGACCTACTTTGGAAGGATTAAATATATTTCAGTGAATTGTTTGAAGGGATTTTCCTTGAATCATTTCAGTTTTTTACTTTTTCAAAAATATTTATAGAAAAATAATCAAAAAACAAAATAGCTTCGCATGCACCTGGACAGCTGTATCAACAATATATACACGATATGGATAGATTAAAGACTTTTCTTTGCTAAAAAATGAGAATTTCATTTTAGACACAGATCAACAGAACAATATTTTAATCCGAACAAGAATGCGAATATCAATTATGGTTATCATCGTCTTCTATATACACTCGTGAAAATTCAGAGAAAGAACTCTAGAAGCTAGAATTATTAGTGGCTTCGTCTTTAATTTGCTTTGGCGTTAATTTAATGTCTATCAACTGCTGGCAAAACCTATTCCACTAAATGCTAAAATAATGGGAAAAAAATCTGTTGATTGTTTCGAATAGAAATGATATTATTTCTTTTATAGAATATTATTGGATTTTAATTACACCATTCTTCAAATAGAATGCTAATTTTGTTATGATGATTATACAATAAAATAGAATACTGTCATTTTTTTCAAAGCAAACGTTGATTGAATACATATGATATATTTAAAGTGACCTTGATGAATCTAACAAATAAAAGCAATGTGAGACTACGATTATTTGATCAAATGTCATGAATTGGAAAGATTCTATGTTTGAACAGTCTAAACAATAAGTGCATAGAGATAGAAGAATTCATATTTGCTCTTATTTCATTAATTGTCAAATAATAGAGACATATGAAGTATTCTAACCATATGCTGTAGTCAATTGAATAGAAACTCTAACAATTAATCATTTGTCCAGACTTTTTTGCTAAAAATATCTCTCTTTTCATTGATTATTGTTTATGCAGTTTTACAATGAAAAAGAATAAACAAGTATGGGTTAATGTACCCTGTTGAGTAGATTTTTTTAAACGAAACATTTGTACAAAAACATTCGCTCTTGATTTGCTTCCTGGATTTAAAAGAAAAATTTTCGATATAGAAATTATATGTTTATAAGCGCAAAAAATAAAATGTTCAACATCCAAGAGAACTTATTCGAAATTGTCTCATTGTCATTGCTTCAATATCACCGGAAGTTAATAGTATTGGTTGGGCATTAAAACTATTATTATTATTATTATTAAAGCGTCCATAATTAAACGGATTAATAATAGTTGTACATTTTCTTGATATTTTTGGTTGATATAATTCATCGGCGTGTTCATTTAGCATCATTTGATGATTTTGTTCAGAAGGCCTACTTAATATTCCATCTGATGAATTTGATAAGCCACGTTCATTTTTAGAATTTGCTATTTTACGTACAACTGTTGTTGCTGATGATGAACCAACATATGTATCTAATTCATTTGCTGAAAGATGACCAGATGTTGATGAATGCTCCAAATGATTTCTCTAATAAAAATAATAAATATTATCATTTATTCTCTATTCTTATATTTAAATGAGAATAAATGTAAAAGAAAATAAATCTTTTTATGATGTCATAGAAAGAAAAACAAGAAACCTAGCGTTAATCAATTTGGCTTTGATTATATGCATCAATAAACGAATATCATCAATAGACAAAAATAAATAATAACAAAGAATTAATCAAATCTAACTGTTGATGTGTAAAAATTGCTGAAGCTTAAAAAGATGTAGGATCGATGAAAGTATCTCCTTTTTGTAGTAAAGAATTTCTCCAGCTCATTTTAACTTCTTAACAAATGAAATGTCAAATCTATATATTGAGTTTTATCTTCTTCCTCTTAAGATCTAATCAATGAAAAACTTACCATATATTCCCTATCTTTTCGTTTCATTAAACGTCTTCTTCGATATGTCTATTTATGTATGAATCAAAGAAAAAGAAATTGTATAATAAATTCTTTTCTTGTCTTTGAGACTTACAACAAAATACATCCAAAAGAAAAATATTATATGAAATAATACATATATTATAGCTAATGTAATTAATGCTATATTATCCCAATGTGGTGCTACATCAGGGGGACAAACAGCAATCAATGCATGCCATCCACATACAACACATAACATGACCATAGATAGAAGTACATATTTATCCTATCAATTAAAAATAATTTTTTATTCTACTAAAATAAAATGAAATTACCAATGTTGTTAAATAAGATATTGTCGGTAAACATCGAACAACAACCCATTTAAATGTGACAGCTGTTAAAAGAAGCGTAAAACTTAATTGAAGACGATTTTGTGGAAGATTATAAGTAACACTAAACGTAGCGAATGCCATTACGGTTATAAAAAACTAATATAAAGAAAACAATATATATACTCATATAGACTTTTTGTCTTTTTATAGAAGCATCGAAACTCACAATAAGAAAATAAACATTCCAATAAAAATATCCTGGTCGTCGAGCTGCATGACCTAAATTTAAATGAGAAGTTTGTTTTTCTTTTGTCAAAAAGAAAGAAATCTATTTTGGTACAAGTTGCTGAAAAAGCTGGATGTTGATTTTGCGATGGTGAAAATGGACTTGATAATAATTTTGTTGATGTTTCAACATGTTCATGCAAACGCCATTCTTGTTGATCGATAAATGTATCTTCAAATTCAATAATAGGAGAAACGAAACGAAAAGAAACAGAATATCATACGTGTATTTATTGCACTTAATTGATTGGTATCTGCAACAAGTGATACTTCATTAACAGTTCGTGTTGTTGATATGGTGATTGTTAAATCCTTCAAAAATTTTTTTAAAATTATTGTTTAGAAAAAACAAATTATTTTATTTACTTGAACATCAACTGGAAAATCATTAAGTTCAAGATTTTCAAGAAAAACACCTTTAACTTTTCTCATTTCATACACCTATATGAAATAGAGATGAGGAAAACAAACCTCGAATAATTACAAATCTAACCATTGGTGTATCCATTCCATCATAAACAACTTTATGCCAAACATCATTTTTTAAATCGCCAACTGAATTATCAATATGTAATAAAGGATTCCAAAATTTATTTGCATCGAAACAATCAATATCCTAAGTAAGAATATATTTATTGAAAGATAAATAAAAAAGAAAATTTTATTTTTTTATTTTAGAAGAAAGATCTTTTTTTCAATTTGACATACTTACATGTCACTTACCGTTCCTTTTAAGGTCGGTTCAAACCAACGCGCTTGAATAAAAGCTTCAGCTTGAAATTGTTCTTTTAATGTATCGATTTCACCAATTTTTAAAAAAACTAAACGTAATTCAACCGTTACCTAAACATAGAAGTTGAACAGAATATTAAAAAACTAGTTGAACTTTGTTTCATTTAGTTTTTGTCTCGTGTTCATTGAAGCATAACAAGTTGACCTGACCCATTCTCGTTTACTCTCATTTGATCAATATATGCATTTGCATTTGCACATTAATACAATGAAAAATTTATATTCAACAAAACTTATTTCACGTTCAACAGGTTTTATTGTTCCACTTGGAATTCTATTAATTCTATTTGGTGTTGCATCAATCACCCTATCATTTATTGATATATTTAATTGTCGTTCATCTTTATCTAATTCATTGCCAATCTCAAAGTCTGCCAATGAAACTACATTAAATACCACTTGTATCCAAAATTCATTTTCTGAACAATCAATATGGCCAACACTTGGTAAAGGAATATGGGTTGGCCTCTTTTATTTAACTGTTGGTATTTTTTCTTTGATTGCTTATCGTGAAAAAACTTTAATATCAATAAGAATCTTATCATTGTTTGCTTTTATTTCTGTTTTTCTGAGTTTTTTTCTATTTCTATCTTCATTAATCGTATTTCAACGGTATATTATTGAAGGTCGTGTTAGTGCTGCTCAAAGAACATCAATTGAACAAAAAGAAGTTGTACTTAATGTCCTTCTTCTTGTTTGTGGAGTTTTATCTTTAATTATTTCATTAATATTAGCAATTGGTACACTCATTGCAGGAAATTTTTGTCAACGGCAATCGGATGATTTCGAGAATTTCAAATATTCTAATCAACAACTACCACCACCTGCCTATTCTGCGCAACCTTATTATGGTTAAATTATAGGATCATTACAAATCAATTGTTTTAATTTAGTTTATCTTATACGAATATCTTTAGAATTCAGTTTTTAAAATGTTTTTCGGTTTATATTATTTCTATTGTCGAATGTTCTTGTTAGAATAATAATGATAAAAAAGAAATAGACCGATAATTTACTAATTATTTATTGAGTATTTTTAAACGCTTGAAATCTAATTAGATATTTATTGAAATTTGAAGAAGGATATTTAGAGCGGAAAATATTTTCTTGGATCGATTCTTTTGAAAAATATCATTAGAAAGATTGACATGATGGATTGTGATAAAAATGAAACTTCAATCTTACCCTATCAAGTTTATGTAAACCTAAACTATCATCAGCTGGTCTTGTATCTTGTTTTTCGCATACTTTAATCATGTAGTCTTTAATATCGGTAAGAACTTTAATATTTCGTTTAAAATTATTATTTAATTCTTGAAGGGTATGTGTTAATTCACGTACATCTATTCCTGATAATGATGACGATGAATGAGTACTATGAATTCGTTTTGCTGGAAAATATTGTTGAGTTGGCGACGAGATTAGTGATGTTCCTGTTATTCCCCCTGTTGAATGCATTGATGATGAGCAAATATATTATAATTAATGATCGATGAATTACAACGAAAAGTAAATCATTGAAAAAAAGCGACAGGCGTACATAATCGAAAAGCAACGAATATAATATTTGTGTTCAACTGAAAGAAGAATTGACGGAAAAGAAGCAAAAAAAATCATTAATCTGAAACAAAACGAAATTCGAAGGAAAAATTATCTCTGCGGAAGATCATTGACTTTCAAATAATCAAATTTCCTTTTATATTGTATTGTTGCTCATTGTTTCTCTTGTTCAACAAAGTCATTATCTGATCAACATCGGATTTTAATCAGCCTAGAATATGTCAAAATAATACTTTCTTTCTAGAGAAAAATTAATTCAATAAGACTTTCATTATCTACTAATATTTACTGCATAGAATAACAGTAAAAACTTGAAAATTATTTGTCAATACATACTTTCAAAGATATAATTGTTTAATGAAACGAATGACAAAAGCAAAAAAAAGGAAGAAATTCAACGACTGCTGTGTATTTTTTTGAACTGAGCTCGTCTTTTTTTTCTAATTCTAATAACTTGATTACTATCTGAAAGCTGATCTCATCTCTGTTTCCCAACAGCAACTAAACATATACGACTCAGTATTCTTGTTAGCATTAATGATAAGAAGACCAGATGACTGAGTTGATAAAAAGAGAGAGAGAGAGAAATAGAGACGATATTCTATCTGAAAACTTTCTCGCGTAAATAAAGAAACAACAGCATAATAGATCGATCATGTAGAGACAAGTCAAAAGCTGCGATAAACGCTAAAAGGAAAAACAAAAAGTGTGTTGTTTTAGGTGACAAATGAATCAACAACTACACACTTAAAAAGAACAGCCATTATTACTTGATAGATACTTTTATTTCTTTTAACTACAGGTATTGTTTTAGAGATTAAGCAATAAAAAGAGAAGAAAATAAACTACTCTGAAAACTTTCAATCAACATTTTCTTGCATTTTATTCAAAAGGATAGAAACGAAAAACGATTCATATACGTATTTTGACGATATCTTATCAAATGAGAGTATTGATTTGAAAAAACAAATATGCGCAGTTTTAATTAGTACAGACTGCGCTGCCCTTGACAAACTAATGATAAATTTGACATAGAAAAAGAAAAACTTGACAAAAACTACCAAACATTAGGAACCAATCAATATCTTCAGTCTTGTCTGTTATTCTTGCTGATGGATGTAAACAAGAACAATACGTTTTCGCATGTTTTCCTTCTTAATATGAAAAGACTGATGTTTACTTACATTAAGAGAAAAAATATCATTTCTATGAACAAACATTTGATTATTTTCTTTTACGACCTAGAATCTTCATCAGTTCTATCTAGTATTGAATATATAATTGACGTATGCGAACACTTAGAGAAGAAGTATGCTTTATAAATATGTATTACATGTAATGATCATTAATAGCAAGTGTTTGTTTACAAATTGGCGCTGCAATACTCTCACTACCGTTTATACCTTTCTAACAAGAATTGAATTAATATTATTCTTCATCATTCTATCAATGACAAACACAAAATTATATAAATATTGCGAGCACATGGGATATCTATCATTTATCTTATCCAGCGCTTTTCTTTGTATTTGACTTTTTATCGTATGATATACAATAAGAGGCATTTTTTCATAAATTACTTATTGAATACAGTGGATTCATTTAATACAAGTCATTCAGGGAAACGATCAATTCCATAAAAATCTTAGACTTTTCTATATGCAACTAACAAACTAAGAAGTCAAATATTTTAGAAAACATAAATCCGATTTAGATATAAAAAAAAGAATTAAAACTTCGATTGGTTTACATGATACAAATGAAAAATAAAACTATCTATATATCCGCCTGGAAAAAGTAATCTCATACAATATTCTTGATATATCATCTTCATACATTAACATTTTGAGAAATGTCATTATGTATTCGAATAGCCCATGAAATTCTCTATAACTCAATATATGTACATTTTGAATTACACTCGTTCGCTAAAGATAAATTCAAGTGCAGTAAAGACACCCTCATCGTCAGATTCCTCGAAAATTCATTTTCTGTTCTTTTAAATATAGAACAAGTTATTACAAAAGTAAGTATGTTATTACTCTTCCAATTATTCCTTTTAACTCCATTTTTAAAACTTTATTTCAATTTTTTAACTGATAAGAATCAAACAAGACAGGAAAAGAAAAAACACAAAAAAGGGAAAAAAACAACAACCTCATATCAAAACGCATATCCCTTTATATATTCTCCTTTCATACTTTCTCCCCCTCCCATATCTCATCACATACTGATGACGTTTCTTCCATTACATAGGGGTAAATTTAGTACATGGAGAGAGACAAGAGAGAGAAAAAAACATCAAAGAATGCAATGGATGATACCATAACGAAACACAAAGCAGAATATAGAAGATATATCCTAACTAAATTTATATCATGGCCATCGGCCATGACAAAGTATATATTCTGAAAGCACGTGAAATTCTCTACCATTCTGTACTTCTACCAGTCTTGACTTGCAATTGTTCGATGACAAATATTTCGAGCATTGTTATTGTACCCTAGTTCACATGAACTCATGTAGCAGCTTATGAACGATTATCTGCTAAAAACGTAAGAGGTATGGATAACGAACCACCCATCAAACCTGATCTCGGTGCTGTTGGGGGTGTTTGGTCTTAGATAAACAGCTTTCCTCAGGGATATTGCTTGAACTCTCAACAATATCAAACCTAGGAACGTGATGCGTGAGTACATTAACAATACTCGAAAGATTTGTCCTCAAATAATTGCAAGTCAAGGTCGAAAAAAACACAGGCTAATAGAGAATTTCATGCGCTTTCAAAATATATATTTATTTTTGTAAATATATTTTTCTATATCGGGGAATCTGACGATGAGGGCGTCTTTACTGCACTTGAGTTTATCTTTAGCAAACGAGTGCAATTCAAAATGTACATATATTGAGTTATAGAGAATTTCATGGGCTATCCGAATATATAATGATATTTCTCAAAATGTTAATGTATGAAGATGATATATCAAGAATATCGCGTGACATTATTGTTTTCCAGACGGACATAGGTATTGTTATAATATAGTAAAAATATCAATCTGTTATTGTCATGCATTATCTAGGTACAGATCAAAAGTTACCATAAATCTAACTTCACGTGTTAATAATTTCGTTAGCAATGATTTAAGCAAATAAATACAACGATAGATAATTTCAATTGTCACAACAATTCTCATACAATTTCTAACGTAAGAATAGAACAATCATAAACTTACTACCAAAAGATAACATTAGAAGAAAAATTGAGATTGGACTGTTTCTTCTAATATATTTTATACTCCAAAAGATTTTTTAAATTTATACATTCATGTTTAACCACTATATAATAGATCCTGCTTTTTAATATAATTATTTTCTCTATTTGTTTTGTCTTAAATTCACAAGAACAACATAAGAATTAATATAAATGAAGAATTAGTTCTATTTTAATCTGAGTCGATTAATTGAAGTTCTTTAATGAGATTTTCATAAGTAGCTACGATTTGACGATATTCGAGTAATTGAAAACGGTTTTGTTCTAATCGAAGTCGAATAGAAAACAAATCTGGTCATATCGATGTTAATTGGCATGTTATTATTTGAATTTGTTTATTCGATGAATGAAGAGCTTGTCGTTCAATTTTTGTCGGTGAAAATTGAATTGATTCTCCAGAATGATATCGCTTTGTATCATTAGAATTCGAAATTGTCATAGCTGAAAGTAAACTTGATGAATAATGATGTTGATTTAGTGAAATCACTGATGGTGAATGTTCTAATTCTAGAATAGCATTAATTGTACTTGAACTTGAACGTAATGATGATCGAATAATAAAATGTGAAATGTCTTGATTACTTTGAATTTTTACTGTTCGTTTTCGATGAAATGATGTAAATACACTTTCAAGAAGAGGAGTTGTTAATATCTCATCATGAGAGTCTTGTCACAAAATTCTCAAATGAAACAGAAATGTTCGTCAAACTATTATTTAACGCTGGAAGTGGATCCACACGATCGATCTGAATTATTTCATACGGTGGTGGTGATGTTGGTGTTAGTACGACGGTTTGATCGTTTTTGTGTACTCAAAAAAAAAAGAGTACACTATAGAATCGGTGAGTGTGTCCGGCCGTTTATTCGATAACTCTTCAGAATTACATTCGATTGAGCTGACATTTTGTGCACAGAATTGTCTTATCAATATCTAGGTCGAGTTCGAAGATGAGAAGGATCCGTCAAGAAATGGCTGAGTTGTCGAAAAAATTGTCATTTTTGATCAGACCATCCCTGAGGGGGAGTACAGGGATTTTTCAAAAAAAAAATTTTCTCAGAATTATTCACAACATATATAAATCGACTCAGTTTTTAACGCTGATTCTAAATCTGATATTAGTTTTGAACTAAGTCATAGCTTTCTAACGAAACATCGCCTGAAAAACGTCTCAAAATTCACAAAAACTCCATCCAGAAATCAAATTGTCTAGTTTTTCATGATAATTTTCGTGTTCAGGCATTCTAGAATGACTCATATGTCGCATGCACTTTTTGCAGTACACATAACTCTCGGATGAAATCCGAAGTTTCCACATTTATTTATTTTATTCTCATATAATTTTTAAAATGATGATATCATTGTTATAGGCTCGAATTTTTGTTTGTAATGAAATTGATCATGTTTTCTATGATTATCTAATGCCATCGACTTATTTATATTGTTTTTATTGAATTATCGTTCGTAAATATGCGATTTACTGTTGGAATGATTTGTTTGCGTACAAGTTGTATTGAAACTATCATCAGGATTTGAAACAAAATATGGTTTAGATCGAATGGATTTTTTTGTTTTGAATAATATTGATTATTTGCAAGTCGATGATCATCATTATTTAAGGAGTAAATATGAAAATATTTAATGAAGCATTGCAATATTCTTACTCGTTTTGAATGAATATGATTTTTATTAATAAATTTATTTGCATACGATGATGATGCTGACAATTGTTTTCGTGATGGTTTTTTCGACTGAGAATGATCAGTAATAACATTATAATAATAAACTCGATTAGTTGAACTTTTATGTTTTTCCCACCAACAAGTTGATTTTTGGTGTTTAGTTATTCTTTTGCGTTTTTTTATGATAATGATGCCGAAAGAATTTCCTTGTTCGATATTTTTCAGAAGATAACCATTATTAAACAGCTGATTTATTTTGGAAAAACTTGATTTTCTTCTTTAGCAACATGATGATGACTATTCGCGTTTATCATAGATTTATTAGTTCAGCATGAACTACAAATGCGCTCTTGGAAACGAAAGTCTCAAATTATAATTAGTATAATTGATTTGAATTGCTATGCTATTAAATAAACACTTCAAATAAAACAGAATTTGCTTTTCGTTTCAGCTCATTTTGTTCGTTCGAGAATACAGGTTATTCTTTCTTTTTTTTTATGAAGCTGCTTCATTAATAAAAACTAATATTGTTATTCGTAATTGCTTTGAAAGTATTTCTATGCTTGTCGAACGTTTTTATCAAAGTTAACGAATCATTTCCAATGAACTTTTATTTTACTGATAGATAATATTAATTATAAATATTTTAAAATAAAATATTATATCAAGCAGAGAAAATGAATTGAAATATATTTGATATGAGCATGTTATTTTTCTAATATTTTATTTTATTTTATTCTATTTTACATAAAGCATGAATCAAGATAGAAAGATCTATGAACGAAAAGCCGGTTTCTCTTTGTATTCATATTGTAAGACCCGCATCTAGAATAGAAGAAAAAATAATAAACCAAAAAGTTAAAAAAATAGTAAAATATTCAAACTTCTTTGATAATATTTTGAAAAAATTGTTCATATTGATTAAAATCTTGTTGACATTGTTTAAGTGCTTCTTCCATTTGATTATCGACGCGTGTTAAAAGATCCCAATCAATGGATGATATTGATGGATATTTAATTGATAATGTTTCATCCTCATTTATATCAATATCCCAACTAAATTTAACTAAATAAAATGATTGCAATAAATTAAAATTTACCTTTGATTTTCTTCTATAATGGGCATATTTGTTGTTATTGGTGGTTCAAGTATTAAAGTATCTTGTGTTCGAATGCCAAGTAATTGTTTAAGCGATGTTAATGGTGTTGTTGGAGTTTGCGATGGAATCATAACTAATGGCGTCGGAGGAGATTTTATTGTAATTTCAATTGGATTATTGATTAAATTTATTCGAGAAAATTGTTCAATTGGCCATGTTAAAATATTTGAACGAAGATCATTTGATAATGATAAATGCATTATATTTAATGAATGAAAACGTGTTGGAAGATCATTTATAAGTCGAGTATAGTCTCGAATTTTTAATTCGAGTCTATCAAAAAAAAGTATAATAAATTCTTCTTTTGATGATGAAAATAAAAATGATTACTTTTCTAATTTTTCTAAAGGGTTTTCTTGAATAATTTTATTTAATTGATTATCGATTCGATTAAGTTCATTTCGTTTTTCAATTATTTGTTGATGGATACGTGGAATCGATTTTTCATCAGATTTTTTATTTTGTTCAATTTCCGTTTGAATTTTCGTTTTCAATAAACTTAAATGGACTTCAACTGATTTACTCTAAAAATGAAAACTATGAATGATAAAAAATAACTTTCTTTCTTATTTCGTTCTAACTAACAGCAATCATTGCATCAAGAATAGACAACAATTGGGTTTGTTCGTCAGATGGTCGACGAGATAAAACTTCTCGTTTACTGTCTGCAAGTCGACTATGAAGTTTAGCACATTCCATACGAATATTTGCCAAATGTACAAATCTACAAATGATGTATACATCAAATTATTGAAGAGAGCAAATGATTATACTGTTTGGTAAAATCCAGGTTAGCTTTTGTAAGAGCCTCTTCGTAATTATCCATAATAGATGAACTTCGTTCTTGATCATCTTTTTCTATTTTACTAAAAAATTAAATTTCAAAAGTTATTAAATAGAAGTATGAATTTCTAAGAAGAAAAAAGAAGAAAACCTAAGCTGATTAATTCTTTGTTGAAGAAGTGTATTCATCAGAGAGCATAAATCATTCAAATTAATTGATTGTTGAAATTTTTCTGTTAATGAAATATTTAAATTCATTAATTCGGCAACTAATCCTTAAAATAAACAAATAATATCTTTTACAATAAAAAAAAACATTGATAAAATCAATACCTTGATGATTTACTCCATTCATTGATGTTAATAAATTTAATTGTTCTTTCATTAGAGCCAATTGATTTAAATAATTTGTTAGTTGTCGATAAATTTGAAGTTGTTTATCAAGTGAAGAAATCAAGTTATGCTCATCATTGATCATTGTTTGAACACGATTTAATTCGTTGAAAATATTTGTCGATTGTTCAGAGCGTGCTGAATAAATTTCACGTAGACGAAGCCCAATTCTTTGTTCTATTTGACCTTGTTGAATTTGAGCATTTTTATGTTGTTCCCACCTGTCTGGATAACGTTCTTTCAATTCAGCGATACGTATAGATTCTTTTACTTTTCTGAAATAAATAAATTTACAATTGAAACCTGAAACTTGCATTATTTTCTTTGTCTTCAAGTTACTTGACATAATCAGCTGGATGACAATGTCGAATCATTTTTTGCCAAATATCTTGTAAATTTGAATTGGACGTTAGACAATGTAGATTATCTCCATCAATAATAATATCAGCTGTTCAATTAGAAAAGTAAATAATATGAAAGAATGAAAATCTTAGAACTTACATTGAAATGATTGAAACCAACGAGCCAATGCATCGGCTGTTGATGCTGAACGATCTTCGCTTAACATATCTTTTCTTTCTACTCGGGGTTACATGTAACAGAAATACAACGCTATATGAAACATATACGCGGGGCCTGAAAATTTATTAACGCCATCTATTCAAAAGAATCCTTCATTGATTTGATTAACTGAGACGAAAAAGTGAGAAAACGTTTTTTTTATTTATTGATGCTCTCAATTATAGATGGATTTTTTTTTCTAAATGAAATGAAACACTTCAAATGAAATCTAAATGGATACCAAAAAAAGCTAATGAAATATCAGGAGGTTGTCATTGCTGATTAACCATTATTAATTTTTTTCTTCTGTGAATTTAACTTTGTGTTTATTGAAAACATTCGAATAGTTCATTGGATTAATTGATATAATAGAAGATAAAAATATATGATAAAGTCTTCATTAATCTTTATAAAAAAAAATAGTTCTTTTGTTCATGCTAAGAGTCTAATCTTTCTTTTTGAATGAAGACCATTCTAATGAGATTTTCTATTATATTAAAAATTTATGATCCTTCATAAATACTATCCTCAAATTTCAATATTGAAAAGTTTGTTATTCAACTACAGCAGAGAAAACATAGATCTTATATTTTGTATATCATGATAAGTGTTACCAGAAAAAATGTATTACTGTCATAGTGAATAAGTCTCATCGAGAACGCTTATTGTACACGATTTGAAATAAAAATTCTTCAGTCAATATCGAGATCCATTGAAATAAAACTATCCTAGTTCTATTTAAAGAGAATTTCCTAAAATTTCTATAACTTATTTGAAATAAGAAAGATTTCTAGATATGAATCTCTTCGAGCATTATTCATTCTTAATCATACTTATCTATTGTGATAAATCTACAGTGATCTGTAATCTGTGAAAACGTCTTTTAACACAGTCATAACAAGGATAAAAATTATTTTGATTTATACTCTAAGAACGATGTTAGCTCGACCTGTATGTCTTGATACACTTCTTCGATGTTTTGTTTTGCCATCGTCATGCTTTCGAAATACGTTCAATCGATCTTCATTCAATCAATTTTTTCCAATTGTATCTTCCAGTTTTTCTCATGGTCAGTCAATATTCACTATACCAATATCATCAAATAATGTCTCTACAATAGTAAAATGTTTATAACAAAATATTTATGTTTTCCTAAACATATTTTTATATATTTAGAAATTTTCATTTCGTTCATATTCAATATCTTCATCTCGATCATCACCTGTTGTCCAATTTAAGCTGGCTGATATTGGTGAAGGTATACGAGAAGTTGAAATTATAGAATGGTTTGTTCGATTTTTAATAACATACACTAATTTGTTTAAACTAGATATTAACATGTATTAAGGTATGTTCAAGTTGGTGACAATGTCAAACAATTCGATAAGATTTGTGAAGTTCAATCGGATAAAGCGAATGTAACAATCATATCTCGATACGGTGGAACTATTGTTAAACTTCATCAAAATATTAGTAAAGCAGCTAAAGTTGGTGAACCACTTGTTGATATTAAACTTGAACATGATCTTGATGTTTTAACTGGAACTAAAAGTAGAAATTTTTGTATATTTTAAAACTAAAAATTTTAAGGTAAACTTTTCTCGTTTTAAGCTGCAACTATTATGACAGATGATACTTTCGATAGTGCAGTGTATAAGGATTCATTAGCTAATATTTTAGTTACCCCAGCAATAAGACAAATGGCTAAAGAGTTACAAGTAAATAGATGCAATGTGATTTTTATTTTTCTTAAAATTCTTTTTTATTAGATTTCATTAAATGATGTTCAAGGAACGGGAAAAGATGGAAGAATATTGAAAGAAGATATAATTCGTTTTAAATCAGCAAAATCAACACCATCAAAATTTTCATCTGGAAGTTAGTTTTAGTTTAGTTTTTGATTAAATTTTTATTTCTCATCTTAACAAAAATAGTTCCTCCGCCATCACCAACAGCTGTCAAGCAAACATCTAGATTGCGTCCAACGCCGGTACCTACTTCATCAAGTCTTAAAAAAGCGTCTGACCATTCCGTAACAAAAGCTAAGAATGACAGAAATGAACCGATACAAGGAACCCGTAAAACTATAATTCAAACAATGATTCAAACTAGTTCAATACCACATTTTACTTATTGTGATGAATACGATATGACACAATTAGAGAAAATAAGAAAACAATTGAAAAATCAATTAAATAATAAACAAAAACAAAAACAAGTGCATTCTTATATGCCATTTATCATAAAAGCATGTTCACTAGCTTTATGTGATTATCCTATTCTCAATGCTCATATTGATTCGAAATGTGAAACAATAGCTTATAAAGTAAGATTTCTCAATCAAAGTATAACAATATCTACTGAATTCATTCGTAGGGTTCTCATAATGTTGGAATTATAATACATACAAAACATGGTTCGTTTGTACCAAATATAAAAAATGTTCAGCAATTATCGATTGGTCAAATCACATATGAACTAAATCGTCTTCAAGAACTTGCTCAAAATGCAAATCTATCAACAGAAGATCTCACAAATGGAACATTTTCATTATCTAATATTGGAGATGTAATGATTTTATTTTTATTCATCTATTAATCATTCAAATTTATTTTATTATTATTGTTGTTGTTGTTGTTGTTGAAATAGATCGGTGGTACATATACTGTACCTGTTGTTCTTTCACCAGAAGTAGTTATTGGTGCATTAGGAAAAATTTTTGTAAGTATGTTTTATTTTATTATTTATTACTTTAATAAATCTCTTGTGATAATAGCGGCAAGCAGTCCCAGACGAAGATGAACAGAATTCAGATGAAAATAAAGAATATTGTTCATCGCCTATTCACTCGACGATGTCTGTCAGTTGGTCGGCTGACCATCGTGTGATTGATGGTGCAACAATGGCTCGATTTTCAAATCGACTCAAATTTCTACTTGAAAATCCACTTCATACTCTCATCAATTAGAAATTTATACACGTTTTTCTCACGATTTCGAGAACATTTAAATCTTCATGATACAAATATTTTTTGCTATATTATATTGGATGAATACCTTCTGTTGATTATTAGTTGTTTGTATTTAGATTTAAGAAAAAAGAGTAAATAAGCGATGATATCATGTTCAAATCTTAATCATCACAAAGAATTTCCGAAATGAAAAGTTATTTTACTGGACATATGACTAAAACTGAAAAATTAGATTACTGATCTTGAAAGAAAATTTTGTTGGAATTTCAATCAAAATCGATTCACTCATTGCTGAATACGTTCGGAAAGAAAATAATTAGTAATCTATGAGTCTACTGATGAAATATCCATGGCAAATACTATGTTAAATGAAATTAGTTGATATGTGTATTTTTATTTAAGGTCTATTTCAAATTACTCTTACGTACGTGAGCATATTTAAAAGATATGTTGTAGGCAAAATTGGAATCTAGGCAAATTCCGAATTTGCCCGGTCAAAATTGGAATTCTGATTCTGCCTAGGCAAAATCAGAATTCCAATTTTGACCGGATTTTTTTCAGGCAGAATTGGAATTCTAATTCTGCCCGGGCAAAATTAGAATCGGGCTAGAGATAAATTCTTAATAAGAAAATAATCAAAATTTAAGTGTTATAACTATATTTTATTCAACAAAATCTTTTTTTCTGAACATTTTACAATTAGAAGCCTAAATGCTTTACTCTATTCATCCATATTTTTACAACAACCTCGTTTTGAATGACATTTTGTCAAACAAAAAACTCCATTTTTTTTACATGGACATTGTTTTGAAACGCATTTGCCTTTATAATCGCAAGTGCGACCACTTGTTGATGCACGATTTTCCCTTAGCTAATAATAAACATTTAACAATATCATCATAAACACATTGTTTTATAACACTTTTCGCTCGAAATCTTTCACTCAAAGAATTATTATGTTTTTCTAATTCTTTATAATAAAGTGATTCCGCACTTTTCACTTCGACAGTTGTTGAATCCGATTGAGACATTTTCTATAAGATTGTGTGAAGCACGTATCTCTATATTTATACTGTTTATCGATACGTCAGGCTTTTATCACGATTTTCTCTTTTTTTCTCATCTACTGTACGTTTACTAAAACATGTGACTATATGAATTTATCTCTAGCTCGATTCTAATTTTGCCTAGGCAGAATTGGAATTCTGATTTTGCCCAAGAAAATGTTAGTCAGTATTAGAATTCTAATTTTGTCTAGTCAAAATTAGAATTCCAATTTTGCCCGGGCAAATTCGGAATTTGCCTAGATTCCAATTTTGCCTACAACAGATACATATGATAGCAGAAAATACAGTTTCTAGATATTATGAATATAGTTTATTGTATTTCTTCAAATTAAAAATAAATTTTGCTCACGACAGGTAATCACCGCTTTAGCTATTGTGTTCCATTTTTCGAGAGAGATATTCTATCAGTCTTAAGGGCTCAGAAATGTTGTTAACCCCAGTCTTATAAGATTTTCATATCAAAATATAATATCACCAATTCAAGCATAATGATCTTCTACTATACGGTTTAGTGCACGTAGGACCATGCAATTCAACATATGTATTTAGAACTGTTTTTAAAATGTTTCGAGCATTTCACTCAAAAGCCATTCACTATCTAAATATCTTTTCCTCTAATTCCAGGTTCAATAGACTTTCGTTTGTAATTTTCATATCTCTAAAAAACAAAAGTGATCTAGAACATTCTTTCTAATCTTTCAGAATTCGTATATTTTAATTTATCGTTTGCAACACAACAACTCATGTCGAAGTAGATACACTCGAATTGAATGACACTCGGAATATGCTGAAAATAATTCATTTAGTAAGCATAACAAAACGCACCACTCTATCAGTGCAGTTTTATATGGATCCTATTTTATCTGAATGGCTTTCGTGTTGTTGCAAAGCATATATCAAGATACACAGCTTAATAGAATACGTTTAAACAACTTTTTATCTTGTAGGCGAAGAAAAAGAGCAAAAAGTTCGATATCTGAAAGAAAAAAAAAGACAGAGCTGTTCTTCTACCTATGTAAAGACTTACACTATTAGTAGAGTGCTCCAAAAAGAATTTCTGTCGAGATTCTAAAATGTAATACTCTTGCGTTCCATACAAGCAAATTTTGAAGCAGTTTTTATAACTTAGCATGAAACATTAATTAAGTATCAGATCAATATCTTATGTTAGAGATAAGATGATTAATTGAAATAATATCGTTTTCCAAAATCTATTTTTCTGATCGTCTGAAAGCAAATTTTTGAAACTGAGGAGGTGTGCGTGTGTGTGTATTCAATAACTCAATATTAATATTGTGTCACTCATCATGAGACTAACTATATAGATTGTTCTGTAGAGATCACCATAACATATTGTCAAACAGGTCTTAAGAAAAATTAATGCTTGTTTATTGAGCGAGTAGTTCAAAATGATATATTTGCATTTAATATAAACTAAAAAATATCTCTATGTACGGAAAACGAATAAAGTCAAATTCATCTGCTCGATCACGAAAGAATATCTTGTAATATTTGTCAAATAGCTACTTGTTGATTCATTGTTAAAATAACTTGCGGATGGATTTAAAATAAAGACTTTGACAATGGTTATTTCAAACCAAAATTTATGAGTTGAACGCAACGAATTATTTGTATCATCAGCCTTTTTTTATTCTAGGCCGCAACATGGACAATTTTCGAATCAATAGCAGTTTTACTATATTTTCTATTCGTTTGTGAGTCTTTCTGAACTCTCCATCTTTTGTTCATTCATTTACCTTATAATAACCTCATAGTAAACTGATTGCGAGATATGGATGAAGAAAAACGATTATGGAGAAGCGCATATTAGCGATAAGTATTATAATATTTGTTTAAGTCAATTGACTAATCAACAGTCATCGAGCATATGGTATGCGAAAAGTACCGTTTATCTTTGTATCGGTGCCAGATGGAAACTTATTTTCATTGACCAATTTACGATTTGAAATACAGTATTATATTCAATTTAGATTTGGCGAGTCGAAAAACCAATTGATTTTTTAAAAGAGTATACATTCGATAAATAATAAACAATTCTTACTAATGACATACTGCGCTTATTTAACAAAATATCAGGGATGTGCACTATACGTGTGAAATTGCAGCATCGATATTTGAGTACACGGTAACTGCATTTTTGTTATTCGAGATAGTTGATAAAGTAGATTGCTAGAACTTTATTGAAAAAAACCGAATATACACATATATCAAACGCTGACAACGACAAGAAGTGATTTAATTGTTGATAGACTCTCCTTTACAATTTTGTTCTTACGCAAGTATTGAATATTGGAACAGTGCATTTTTTTGAAGAAATGCTTTGATGCCACTTATATGCAAAAACGAATTGGCCAAAATACTTTATCAACTACCGTGTTACTCGCCAACGCCCATTGTCAATGAAAATTTTCTTGTGTGCGATCATTTACGCCAATAGCTACGTACCATACGCAGGCTTTCATGTCGTTCCTGCCTCGATATTTAGACATGACGCACACTTCTGTTGAATATACATAATTTTGTTATAGATAAAAAGTTTTGTTGTTTTTTCTATTAAAATAATGCTAAAAATAAATCCTGACACACAAGTCTCTTTTTCTAGTACAAAGGCACGATACTATTCAGAATGCTATTATGAATACGACGATTAAGTACTTTGATGCAAATGAAATGAGACATATTGATTGATATTTATAGTCGTTATTTTTTGTTTTGTTTTTGAATTCTATGAGATATATTTATTAAATATATAATACATTGATTTAAATTTTAAGTTTTTCCCTTTTTCTTTCATAATTCATGTGACTTATCAAGAATGTTATCTAACTCAGAAAATAAAGAATTGAAAAGAGACTCTCATTCATTTTTTGTCATCATTGTTGATTTTTATTGATATCATTTTCTTCTTTTATATATTAACATGACTTTTGATTTCTGAATGCATTATATCAGCTATTTATTTAAATATTAAAATGGATTTTATGTTCTTAATAGTGAATTACTAATATCAATTCATGATACGAAATATATCCTACTTCATCATTTTATAAATAAATAAACACGAATAGAGAAAAACTTTAAAAAAATAGATAAGACATTCCAACAATTAGACACAATTTAACCTTTACTTTTTTTTTATCTTTACTACCCTTTTTCTCTGTATACATAACTTTCTGGTTCTTTTGAATCTCGATTTCAAAGATTAAAAGAAGCGACATTCTCTTTCTGTGATAATTACAATAAAACGAAGTATTTACTCTTCTCTAGAATATTGGAGAAGTTACAATAATTAAGAAATTCAATAATCAAGTGAGACGTTTTCTTTAAAAAAATCGAGAAGTGTTACAAACAGTCAGGAATGCAAGCAGCCGTTGAAAATCTAGATGCTTTATCTATGCGAAATAATCCTCTTGCAAGTCAAACATCAGGTAGATATGCCAATCTATTGTTTTTTTAATTTAATATGGTTTTTCTTTGTCTAGGTGTACTAAAATCACCAACTTCTATAAATAATAATGGATCAGGAAATACGTGGAAAAAATTTTTTGGCATACAGCAACCTAAACAGTAAATATTTGATATTATTTGTCTTCGTTTCATATTTTTTAAAACATATTTCATTTAGAGTTTCGCCATCAAATAGTATAAAATCGCCATTTGTTGCAAACAATGCATCACAAATTCATGCAGAAGCTGGTATTACGTTTATTACATCGAGATTAGCCGGTATTTATTACATTCATTTACTAGCACAGACAATTCACTTCATCAGAATGATATTCTCTAATTAAATTAATTAATACTTTTCTCATGAGCATTGATTGATTCTTATTGAAATAGCAAGCATAATTTCGGTTGGGATTTACCCAAATATTGAGAATTGAAAACTCTTAATCAATAGACGAACTATCAATGCGACTAGAATAATACTTCAGAGGAGTGAGAATAAAATAATTAATTTCTTTATTCATCAAAACGAGAGGAGTGTTTTTTTCTGATTTAATTTTTATATTCTAAAATGTCTACAAAGTTTATCTTGCAATTAAGTTTGAAAACAAAAAAATATCGTAGATATGACTTAATCTTTTAGCTTTTTTTATTCAGAACATTCGAAAAGAATGCAGAAACAATCTCTAACCTCTAGATTTTGGACAGACTTCCCAAAAGTTTTGTAAAAATAATAATAATCTATGAAAGAATATTTATAGTATTGACAACGCCACGTGAACACACATCTGATACATCGTCATATCAAACAACTGAATCGATTCGTGATTTACTCGATTCAAAACATTCAAAATCATATATGATTTATTCACTTGAACAATATTCTAATGAAGAATTATCTTACCAACAAGAATTATTTCATGATAGAGTTTGTTATTTTAATTAAATATTTCTTCTAGAAAAAAACTTTTATTTTTTTCTGATAGATTCAAAGTTTACCATTGTTTAATGAAAAAGTATCACCACGTCTAGTTGGATTATTATGGCTTTGTCAGAAAATAACATCGTATTTACTTGAATCACCGTCAAATATCGCTGTCATTCATTGTCATGTAAGTTTTTTTCAAATTTTATTTAAAAAATAAAACTGAACTATTTAAAATAGGAAGCCAGAAATCAATTAGCATTTGGAGCATGTGCACTACTTGCATATCATCAAACATTTCTACGAGTTGATCAAATTATTCAATATTATGAACATCATCGATGTGCACATCCATTACTAACAATGTCACAAAAAAGGTTTTTTTTTCTTTAGACGGTGATTTCTTTTTTTCTAATTATAATTCGTTCAGATACATTCAATATCTATGTGATTTATCATTTGGTGTTATTGAAAAACCACATTTTACTGAATCAATTCTTACAAGCATAACATTGTCACCAGTACCACTTGTTAATCGACAAAAGTCTCTCGTTTTCTTTTTATCAAATAGAATTGAATAACATAAATCATTTTATTTTTTAATATTAGACTTGGATGTCGTCCATTTGTTGATATATATGATCATGAGAATAAAAAAATCTTTTCTACATATCAAGAAACAGCTAAACTTCGGTATGAATGTACTATTGATACTAAAATCTATTCTTCTATCTTTAAAGAGATTATTCTGCATCAGATAACAATTGTTGTATTCCAATAAATATTCCATTTAAAGATGATTTAACAATTCATATAACACATGCAACTGTTAATCAATCAAGTCAGACACATGTAATTTTTTTTTCTTCTTTAAATCGTTTTTTTTTCAATAAAACTTTATCTTAGGCAGATGGAATTCGTATATGTGAATTTACAATTAATTCAAACTTTAGTACATTAAAACATCCACAATTATCGTATCTAAGCAACGAATTGGATGGAGTTGATCAAAACGAAAAATCTCCGTCGGTGTTTCGTGTTACTGTTAATGTCATGAATTCACAACAATCGATGATGAAAGAACAAGATACATTTTCAAAACAGTTGAATCATACATTAAAGCAACCTTTGACTTTATTTAAAGACGACAGTGAATTCAAGCAAAAGGTGACTGATTTCGGTAAATAAATTCTTGTTTCATTCTGATATGATTCATCTGACTTCGATTTTTTTCTAACTTTCATTTGTTAACAGCACGAAAAGAGGATCCAAGATCTCCTGATTCCAATTATTCATCAGTATCGCGAAGTAGCAGTCGAATTTCGGGTTCGTTTTCATTTTCAACTCCACAATCTCCAACATCATTTATTAATCCTTGGCATAATCCATTTAAACAACAGAAAGAAACGAGTCCAACATCATCAATAAGTGTTTCACCACCATTAGTTAAAGTACAACACAACGAAGAACAAACAGCTATGGGTACTCTTCTAGATATCGAAGACAATGCTTCAAATGATCAATTTCTACTTGAAAGATCCATATCATCTGATAAACATTACCATGAATTCAATTCAAGTCTTGGTTCACATACAAATCTTCTGGATGATGATGATTTTGAATCAGATAAACCTTCTCTGCAGAGAAATATTTCACAAACATCTTTACCACAACCTATCATGGCAACAACGGCAAGTAATGCAACACAACACTTATCTTGTAAGATTTTTTCCTGATAGATGTCAGCCATTTCTATAGTTTGAGACTTTCCATTCCATTCATTCACCATTTTCTTTCTATCCGTCTTGATTCAATATATATGGCAATAGAAATGAGAGAGAACCGTCCCACTTCGGTGGGACATATAATAAAATTGGAACGATACAGAGAAGATTAGCATGGCCCCTGCGCAAGGATGACACGCAAAATCGTGAAGCGTTCCATATTTTTTTTCTTCTGAATTTTAGCTTTAAGAAAACAATCCAATGTAGATGTAGCATCTGCAACAGGTGGTTCTAATTATAATGTCTCTGTAATAGACAACACTAATTCGTCGTTTCAATCACAACAAAGTAATGTGTTCACCGAAATTTCTCAGATTTTTCAGTAAATATATGTTTCTTTATAGATACAGTTAAATCAAATCTACCTTCAAATCATCCCGAAAAAAAAACTTTTAATATTCATGATTTTTTTGGTGGTCTCGATGGATTATCAAGGGAACCAAGAGCTAAACCTGAACCAGAGACGCCGAATACACTAAGCAATATGCGGAGAGCAACACTAATAAAAGATGTTGACCCAATCGTTCTCAAAGTAAAAACTGATTTCAATTTAATAATTGTTAATTTTAAAAGTCAAATAGGTTCGCGACTGGACTGAGGGTAAAAAGAGAAATATTCGTGCATTGTTATGTTCTTTATCAAATGTAACATGGCCCGAATGTACATGGACGGGATGTCAAATGAGTGATTTGATAGCATATGAACAAGTTAAAAAAGTTTATCGAAAAGCTGTACTTCATATTCATCCGGATAAAGTAAAAGAAATAATTTGGTGTTAATGCTTTGCTTAAATATTTTTATTTTTATTTATTTTTCGATAGCTTCGTGGTGACCCCAATCAAGAATTAGCTAACCTTATTTTTGTGGAATTAAATGAAGCGTGGTCTCAATTCGAACGAGAATCAAATTGAAAAAAAAGTTAAAATTCTGTACAATCAATTCTGATCTTTCGTTCAAAACTTGACAAGAGAGATCATTTTGAATATGTTCTTTTTATTACAAGACATTTGAGTTTCTGTTTGAAAAATAAAATTATTAAAAAATAAACTTTCTTATACATAAATAAAAGTAGAGTTCTGATAATATTTCTATTGATTATTGTTTCATACATTGAATCTAATAATAGATTTTCACTTATTTTTTTAAATTTTGTTTCAGAATTCTGGAAAATGTAGTATTATACTTGAATATATTTTTATAGCTATAATAAAGATTCGTTATTTTTTTAGTTTGTACTATAGTTTTCTTTCTTCTTATAAGGATTAATCAAATTTTTTATTAACATTCTTAAATTAATATTAAACGTTCGAGCGACTCGTTGAAGACATAGCATAAATCCATGAAAGTCTATGGTAAGAGAACCAGAACCAGCAACACTTTGATTAGCAAGTGACAATTGAACTTGACAAAAAAGACCATTCAAGTGAAGACGAATATCAAATTTATTAAATGCTACATATTGTGAAACACATTCAATAAAAGTAAAACAATTCATTCGATGATCAGATTTGTCATTTGACTTTTCACTGTGTGCAATGAAATAATTTTTAAGCTGAGAAAAATCTTTATTATATTCATTTAGTAGTATATGATGTGAGGTAAGAGTACAATGAAGTGCATTATTATTTTGATTTTGAGTATCCATAGGAATTTTTCGATGCAAAAGCTAAATAGAAAATTCATTAAAAATTAAATTTCTTTGCATTTAGTAAACTCACTTTTTCATACACATATTCTTTACTAAGATGATTTTGTTTTGCTACAAAATCAATTTGTTTCATAAATTCTATAAAATTTATCGAATCATTATTTTTTTGATTTAATTTTGGTATTGAGACTTGTATCTTTTTTAAAATCAAATCATCAAATAGATTATCTCTATTATTTTTTGATGATACAAATAATTGATAAAGTTTTCCTAAATTTGAATTAGTTTTTATATCATTGAATACATCATCTAATGAGACATAGGACTGATGATAAATATCATTAATTAAATGGAAAATGTGTGTCATTTCATCAGATAGATTTTTAGTTGGCCGAATACTTTTCTTCTGTCCTATAGGTAATAATGTTTCCATTTGATGTGAAACACTCGTCACGGAATTGTCAATTGAATACGAAAAAGAGAAAAGCGCCAAAGAAAAAAGGTTTTTTTTTTAGATGATAAGATCTATTCGATAGGTAATAGTTAATAATATTAGGATATGTGTAGAATAATCGGTTGATTCCAAAATGAATTTTAGAATAGTTATAATTATAAATAGTTTGATATTCATTTGTTTACTGATTTAATGAAGAAAAATGTTTCTTCATTATTACTCAAAAGCCACAAGAAGTTATATTTACTTTACATCCAATACGAGACTGTAATGTCATGTTATCTATGTTAGAATTGGAACAAAATAAAAAAGTCAAATTATCAAATGTTTATTTGACCGTTTTACAACAGATAAAGTGTTAATTTTCCTTAATAATTTATCTTCACTTCCTTATATCTATTTTATTCTTATAGTGATAGACTGTTAACTAATCATTACGAAATGAATAAATGGATATTTTGAAAATTACCAACAAAGGAATAGAAGCGCTCTTTCTTTTTCAATTTTTTTTCTTCTTTTGTCTTCGAAAATTTTGCAACAAGATCAATCATGGTAGAACCAGTTACACTCATTCTTGGTGTAGTTTCAGTTATAAACTTTCTTTCGACTGGTTTCACTTGGTTTAAAAAGTTCATAGGTGCTGCTGAGGCATCTTCACCAAGTCAAACCACATTGTCGGTAGCAACATATCCATCAGTTATATATGTGTCTCCGATAAGAGAAGACACTGCAAGTATACTTTGAAAACACGATCATGTGATCAATGATTGATTATGACATTTTTTATATTGAAAATAGAAACTGAGTTCGAACATTTCAAATCAAAGAAGAAGTCATTAGAAAATTTTGACTCAAATGATGGTACATCTTCATCGAATTTCGGTTCGACAATTGGTTTATTACTTGTTGTTTCGATCGTTCTTGCAGTTCTTGCTTTTATTTTCTATCGGACACGAAGTAAATCACAAGAAAATAGATTCAGTTTTTTTCGACAATCTGAAACAAAATGTGGATCACTACCCACTCTGCGAACATCTCAAATAGAATCTAATCCAGTAATTGTTTAATCTCAAGAAAAACTATCTATTCGAGAGGTGTCAGTAATTGTCAAATTCTTTCATTATAAAAATAAATAAATTTCAAACAATGCTAATCTATCATTACTATCTAGTAATTTCATCTGTTTATTATATTATATTATATTATTTTTTGGATACGATTTCAAATCACATATGACAAAGTGTTATCCAATTGTATAGCTCATGATTAGTCATATTTTAGTATTTGTAGGTTGTAGCTTGTAGCTGGTTGGTTCAATGAACCCATGTGGCCCATTTAAGAGTTGCTTAATAAAAAAACGATATTACTTTATCTTTTTTGTATTTACAAAATAAAAAAGATGCGTGTGAAAGAATGTATTTGTTTAATGTTATTTATTTGTATTTTTTTTATTATTGTTATTTATATTTTTGGTCGAAGTGATTCAACAGTTGAGATGGGCTCGAAATGGTCTTCGCCGGATGCATCAATATCATCATCGGATTTGTCAGTTGCTGATCATATTCAACAGTTAATTCACAAATATCCAGTTGTGGTTTTCTCAAAATCTTATTGTCCTTATTCATCAAAAGCAAAAAGTATTTTAGCGAAATATGATTTAGATAAAAATTATCATGTACTTGAACTTGATCATTTATCATTAAAAGCCGATGAATATCAAAATGAACTTGGAAAATTAACAGGTGCACAAACTGTACCAAGAGTATTTATCAATGGTAAATGTATTGGTGGTGGCGATGATACGGTGGCTTTAGAAAAACGAGGCGATTTAGAACGTTTATTAAAAGAAGCTAAAGCTATTTTCTAATAATTAAAAAATGTGCTTATGTATTCACAAATACTTTCAAGGATATTTATTTAGGATTTAAATAAAATCTAAAAATCATTGATTATATGTTTTCTCTAGAACTCAATTTTGAAGATCACGCAGTTCACGTTTTCAATAAAACTAAATTTGTTAAATATATCTACGAGACAAGTGTTTGTTTTTCGTAAGAATTCGATACAAGAATTAAAGGAAACAAAATCTTTTGTGGTATTCGCAAGACGAAATTTAATTTCTTTTATAGTAAAACATAGCTATAAAAAATAAGTTTTCATGTTGGAATCAAATCAGATTCTTTCATCATTCTTTTGATTAGCTAAGCGAAACTCAATATGAAAAATATCAATCATTAATCTTAGATAATATACAACATTGCTTTTTAAAATACGATTTATTTCATTTGAAATTTCAATTATGTTTTCTTATGAATGTTTATATTAATGGCGAAATGATTAGTTAATAGAATACGATCGTCCATTACTATTTATCTTTTTTGAATTGATTAAAAAGATTGTTATCTTCATTGTATTGTGTTATTTCATTTTCAATTCTTTACTCCGATCAGTGAATGCTCCTCATTTGCTTGGAAAAACATCTTCCATTTGGTGATTCCCGTCTTTCTTCTGATCTTTTTAATGTTTTCATTACGGAAATCAACAGTGACAGTATTTGTAAAATATAATTGATGATTTTTTTATGATTTAGTAGTCTTTTTAATGATTCTTCGATTAATATAGTCCGGTTGAATTCTCTCATATTGAACCTAATCTTGTTCGAAGTTCATCCGAACTCAAAACATGACTGCTCTCCATATCCTTTCAGAGTCAAAATTTACTCAAAACCTTCTACCAGTCAAAATCCGACTGAACGCATGTAGAGGATATCGTAAATAAAATAAGTCATGCATTTAAAAATAAACAATTAAGTGTACAATTGTCGAGAGACCAACTTATTTTCGACGATGAGAACCATTCTCAATACGGAATTCATTTTTTGATCAACATCCTAATCATAAGTGTGTGAAACGTATGGCTAATCATGAAGATTCGATAGAATATCGTGATCGAGTTAAACAATATTTATTCGAATTAAAAACTGAAAAAGTTCAAAACTTATTAGGTTCTATGGACCCATCTAAGAGTGAGCTAAATCCTCTTTTTATTTTACTTTTGCAAGTTAAAAACGAGAAGAAAAATTCTTGCATTCTATGTTAGAAACATTCTCATTTGATGTATTGATTCAATGAAAATTAAGTTCTTTTTATTTTTTTTCTGATAAAAGCGAAAACATTATCAAGATAATTTTTCCTACAATCTATAAAGTTCATTATCTAGCTTGTTTTTCATTCAATGCAAAAACCTTGTTTATTGAAAATTTGATACTTCTTCGAATATTTGTATTCAAAATAAATGAATCATTGTGATAATATTTAATTATATTATAGACTTGTAAAACAAATCAAGCAATCTATCATCGTTTTGCTAGTGTTCAGTAGTAGTAAAAATGAACTGACAGATTTTCCCTTGATTGTATAGCAGTATTTTTGCAAAACAAAACTATTTATTTAGTCAAAGATTAATCAAGAATGACAAAAAAGAAAGAATATCATATTCCAAACCAATTAAATTCATACCTAATATATGATTTTAATTATGAATAGTAGTTTGCTCTCTTTCCACATACGTAAGATAAGTTAAATCGATATCCATAAGAACAACTTCAGGACAGTTTCCTACTGAACAAAGTAGTAGTTCAATTAAATTTTTCAAATGTTGAATATCTTGATAACAATGATTAGTAAAATAACGATAAGCATAATCGAAATCTGTAGCATTATTGAATTTTTCATATAATAAATCTAAACAATGTTCATCTCTCCATTCCCAACCTTCAATAACATTCCAATTGATTTCTATTCAAGGAATTTTTGTAGAATTAAATTTTTCATTTACAACAGATAGATATTTAATATAATCATTCATAAGGTTCCTAATACCATCTGAACCAGCTTGAGGACAAAAGTCACGCCGTACGTTCATTTTTCGATATGTGCAAGAAAGATTCAAATATAACCATTGTGGAGGGATTAATCGATGTATTCAATAAATTTTTATAATCAAGATAGGGAATTAGATTTGGAATTCTTTCATCAAAATTTAATAAATCAGGAGTAAATGAAACATTATCTCGAGTAACAAACCATCCTTTTACATTTGGATCTTGTCTCTCTGTTGAATTACAAATATTAAATATTGTACAAAATAAATTTTCTTTTGGTGATTGACCATAAAGTTCTAATAATGCTAAAACATTCTCATTATTACATTGAGTAAAACCAGGTAGAACTGTAATGAGAAGAATATTACTATTACGAAAAGCTATTGATGCTTCGTTTTTCATGAATCCAATTTCGGAAGCTTGAATTAGTATTGAATCATTATTATTTCGTAAATTTAATTTTAAATTAGAGGTCATAAGCTAAAATTAAAATAACTATTTTCATAATGACCATTGATTAATTGTCGTTTTGGTTTATGCCTAACATTTGAAGCCAATTGATTTGTACTCAAGTCAAACTTATCTTTACCAGTTAGAGATTGTGTTCGAACGACAATATTTTACAAATAAATTACAACGAATAAAGCAGAAGCAATAGTAAAAGATTTTGATAATACGAAGATTATTCTTGTGAATAATTATTGTTTACATCAAAACTAATTAAATTTAGTTTATTTGTTTGAACATATAGGATAAAAAATACAAGATTAATTGGAAAGTAACATATATGACTCAAAAGTTTGATGAATAAATCTTTCTCTTAGTTACTACCTCTTATTTTCAACATGAATGCAAGATAATGAATATTTACTCATCTTACCTGAACTTGACGATATCGAAAGTAAATAATATGATTTTACTTGAGGGTGTGGGTGTGGATTATCTTTTAATCCACACCCGCACCCACCCCACACACCCTGCTTGTCAATTGCATCTTTTGAGAAAATTTTTATTTCCATTTGACCTCTTTTTTTTATGCCTCGGTAATTAATTTTTTTCTCTTTTGTGTAGGTTGGACTGTCTGTCTCTGGTAGAAATCTTAACTTTTAGAAAAACTGTTGGGTGTGGGTGTGAGTGTTAGGTCGTCTACAGCTGCACGATACCCACACCCACACCCTCAAGTATAATATATATGAGAAACATTGTGACAAAGGAATGATGACCTGACAAATGATTCGTCAATAAACGAAAAAAAATGATTCACACGAAGAAAAATGACATCAACTGTTCAGCCTAACCTGTTATTATGTCATGAATATTTATCTTTCATTGTTTTCTCAGACGGTAATGAGAAAAATAGATATGTATATATAAAATAATACGATTGAACGAAATGAATTAGACATGAACATTTCGAATAACAATCAAAAAAATATACTCGATTTGCCCAATGAAATTTTATTTATTATTTTTAAGAAACTGAATATGGTCGATGTTCTTTATTCACTTGTGGATGTTACTCAACGGTTTGATCAAATAATACTTAATCCACTTTATATTTGTAATCTTGATATGACCACTATGACAATGAAATCATGTTTTGAATTTATTTATTCAATAGACAATAAAGTTCTTGATAGGATTTGTAAAACTATTTTACATCGAATTCATCATCAAGTAAATGAACTCACTGTTGAACAACATTCAATGGAACGTGTGCTTCATACTATTAATTATCCGGCACTTCACTCATTATCATTTATCGATTTTCAAGAGGATGTACTACTCAAATACTTAACAGGTAAACTATTTTATTTTCTTTATTTTAATTAACACAATAGTGAAATCATTAGACATAAGTTAATAATCATTGTTCTTTTTTGCTTATGAACTGAAGACAACACAGCTCTTCGCAAGCTTCTTACTGAACAAATTACAAGTCTTCAAATTGATGTCATGGATAAGAAAACATCACCATCACTTCCTCGAACTCTTTCGACTATATTTGCTTTCGTTTTATCTTTATGTAAACGATTGATCAAGTTAAGTTTTTGTCACTTATATCATCATTTAACCAATTGCACTTTTGACTTATCGTCAACTAACTGCTTGTCTTCAACTTTGACTACATTGGAAATTACTGTGAAAACTTTCGATGATTGTCTTTATCTACTTGATGAGCGTCTCAGTTGTCTATCAACACTGAAAATTCATGTGGATGAAATTGCATTTACATCAGGAACTATAGATAACACGGTGAGTATAATTGCCAATTAGTGTGTTACGAAAAAAACAACAATGAACTCGATAGATAAACATACTTTGTTCTTTTTTTTCAAAGAAGATACTTCCCAAACTGAAGCACTTCACATTTTGGTCAGATCCACGTACACTTGTTTATGATAATCAAATTCTTCCATTATTTCGACGAATGATAAATCTAGAAGAATTGATATTTTTTCTTTCAATAATAAGAATTGACTCAAATTATATTGATGGTATTCAATTATATGATGATATTCTTATTTATATGCGACGATTAAAAAAATTTGTTTTCAATATTGACACATGTGTAATCAAAAAGAATATTGGAATTGCTCTTTCATCGAATGAAGATATTCAGCGTAGTTTCATTGGAAGAGAATATGGGCCAGTTGGTACACATGTTGAAACTTTCTCAGGCGAAAACAAAGGTAGAGGCCATATGTATTCACTTCCACATGAATTCAACGGTAGATGCCACATCTATTCGCTTCCATATCAATTCAAAAATTTTCATTATTTAAGCAATTCTTTTCAAGGTGGCATGTTTGATAATGTTCATTGCCTGATGATGACGGACATACGACCTTTCGAGCATTACTTCTTCAAAGTAATCTCTCAAAGTTTTCCTCTGTTGAAACGATTGTATATATTTAATAATGAACCGCAGAAAGAGAAACAACAACCGATAACGTTTATCAAATTTTCTCATCTTATTTTACTCTATCTTACTAGCGCTCATGTAGATTATGCTAAACAATTTCTCTTCAATAAACATTGTCATTTACCTTGTTTACTGGATCTTTACATCAGGTACGAATCACTTGCAGTGGTCACAAACAATTTCACTAATGATGGAACACGTCGTACTTGTGATAAATTGACCAGTCTTCATGTAAAGGAGCCGTTTGTTCCTCCAGAAAACTTTCATCAATATTTTCCTTTATTGTAAATATTATTGTTGTTAAAAGTTGTGTCAATAAAAGCAAATAATAGGAGAAGATTAAGTATATTCCAATCATGTCAGAGCTGGAACCGGTGAAATTCCGACAAACGGGTAAGCAATCGGAGCTACTGATTCCACGAGAACCGCTTCAGATCGACAAAACATGATGGAAATCGACAGAGCCGTTTCCAGCTATGAAACTAACTGGCTAATGGTTAAATAGATTGGTGACCAGACGGATGAGAGAGATAGGAGTATAGGCAGATAAACAAACAATTCTGCTATTGATAATATAATATACACCGACTAGTCAAAGTGATTTCCTTCTACATGGATATTTATCGTACCATTTAATATGTTCATTCACAAGGATAGAAGAGAGGAAGTGAGAGATGAGGTGACAGATTAAGGACAATACAAAAAGATAAATATAAATCAATACATAAGGAAAACAGAACACAAATGGTCAGGTGTTATAAGAGGACAAGAAAATAAAGCGAAGAAAAATAAAAGAGAGAAATTCTTCGATCTCTTTTTTTCAGAAAGAATAAGAAAAACATTTATGATTTGAACTAATGTTCATTATATGATGAAGAAACTTTTGTTTTGTTGAGTCTTGAAGGACTTTCTATTGATATATTCAAAGAGCATCAATTCATCTACTTGATAAATAAACTTAAAAAACATTCTCGACCAAAATTAAGAGTAAAATGAGAGTATTTTTCGAAAATTTCGACCGGTGAATTTCCATTTTTTCCGGCCCGCACTGGAACCGTTTTACCGCATTCGTTCGAGCCCTGAATCATGCTGCTCAGTTAAAACAAAATAGATATAATTAGACGAAAAATGTTTTTGCTATGCTTTGATAAAGTAGAGTTTGATTGTTATTTATCTATCATGTTAAAAGATAAATGTATTCTTAAATATTATTTTAGATCAAACAAATCAGAATCACATCTCATCTATTCTTAATCAAGGTATACTTCAACTTATACAAATTATAAAGATTTGAAAGAAATCGTTTTCTTGATTATTAATTATTCTAACACATTGTAGATAAAGTATCGAATTTCAAAATAGTCATAGCATTTGAATGATCAGTAATTCAGAGAGATAATAATGATACTAGTGAACAGAAAATATTAAAATTATTGGAAGTACATTAAGTAATTGTTATAAAAGTCCTGTGCCTTGGCTGGTTACATGAATATATCTCTAATTGCTTTAAAAGGAGATGAGTATTGGTAAGAAATTGATAGTGTTGATGGTCTGATGGTTTATTTTCATTCGTTTTTCGTTTATTTGTCATTATTTTGTTGTCATTTCTATGAAATAAAATAAAATAAAAAAAAAACTCGAGAAAACCTTTTGTTTATTTTTGAACAAGAAAATTTAATTTAATTTATTTTTCTCTATTTATTTGATATAAAGGTTCATAGGAAAAGTTTAAATCACAAATAATTTTATCTATAATCTTCATGATGGAAGAAAAAAAAAGAAGCCAACATAACAATGAAAAACAACATAATTTATTTCTAGTGAAGTTTATGTTTACCATCGTTATCATCATCATCATCGCTTTGATTTGTTTTTGAAGATGTTGATTGTTCAAGATTGTGTTCAATTGGTGCCACATTAATCTTCTTTTGAATATCATCATTAGCCATGAATTTCATCATAACCATTGAATTTCCATCGATTGAACTACATTTATTTCCATCATCTTCTGTTTGATTTGATAAAAGTTCAGCACGAATATGGGGTAAAACAACACTTTGACCTATAATTATAGAAATACAGTTTAGAATTCGATAATATTTTTTTCAAAGAAAACTTATCACCAGTTACACGATCACGTGTTTTATTTAATTCATTATTTTCAATTGCTTCTTGACGTTGACGTTTTGCTTGTTCTAAAAATAAATGATATGATTATGTGATTAAAACAACAATGAATCTTACCATTTTTCTCTTCCATTTGTCGTTTAGTGCGTTTCTTATCAGCTACGTCGGCATAATACCCGCTTATTGAAAATTTAAGTTTTTCATTTTCGACGGCTTTCTCTAATAACTGAATCTGTTCATGTGATACATTATTTGGTTGATCTTTAGCTTAAGTTTCAGCAACAGCAATAACAGCAAGTTTATATTTTTGTAATTGTTGTTGTTCAATAGCAGCGAGTTTTTCAACCTAAATAAAACAAACATGAGGAACTTAAAAAACCTATTTATAACATACATCATCTCCAGCTTCTGTGATACTTTCAAAGAATTTACTGCTCGTCGGGTCCATGTTGAATGAAGATAGTGATCTAGATGACGATTTAGAATTAAATATTTAAAGTTTTATTGTAATCGACGATGGAAAGTCACAGTTTTCTCTCTCTCTCCAATTTCTTTTCGTTGTTTTCTCTTTATCTCTTTCTCCCAGTATTTACATGTAAATACTGAAAGAAAAATATAGAGAGAACGACGAAAAGAAAGGAACCACGCAAGACTATAAGAAGGAAAACAAAAAAAAAAGATTTCTAAATGTTTTCGTTCATACATATAACCGGGGAGAATAGAAATGAAAAACAACACGTTCCATTCTCTCTTAATATGTTTGATTCATTGTTTATCTATAGTTAGTTGGAATATTCTGATGTCGACAGTGTATAACATTTAAATATAATTCCATTTATTCAAATGTTTCTTTATTTAGTAGTTTTTTTTCATGAAAATTTATATTCTTAATGGGTTATTATAAAACCAAGATTAAATTTCCTTTCATATTCTTCATTCAGATGTTCTTTTAAATTATAAAATCGAATTTTGTTTTCTTTATGTGTTACATTTAAATAAAAACATATTTTTTTTCTTCGATGATATTCTGAACAAGAGGAATTTTTCTAACAATCGAGGTGCTTGCACTGTCCGTTGAAAAGTCTAGATATATTGGTGTCAAATTGAAGCTCTCCCTTCCAAACTATCAAATTTCAAATGAAAAATTTATTTTCGAAATTCGCGCTGAAACTTTCCACACATGAAGGGCCCAATATGAATAACTTGAAAAATAAATTTCAGAATTTTCCGATAATTTATCTTTGAGATATGAATTTCTCAAAATATCCATCATGTATTGAAAAGTGTCTCAATATTGAGAAATTCATATCTCAAAGATAAATTGTCGGAAAATTCTGAAATTTATTTTTCAAGTTATTCATATTGGGCCCTTCATGTGTGGAAAGTTTCAGCGCGAATTTCGAAAATAAATTTTTCANATCTCAAAGATAAATTATCGGAAAATTCTGAAATTTATTTTTCAAGTTATTCATATTGGGCCCTTCATGTGTGGAAAGTTTCAGCGCGAATTTCGAAAATAAATTTTTCATAGACAACTAGGTTCCTGCAGAAACAAATCCACTAAAAAATCGATATCTCGGTGGTGGAACGCCAACAGCCACCTATATTTGAAATTTGATAGTTTGGAAGGGAGAGCTTCAATTTGACACCAATATATCTAGACTTTTCAACGGACAGTGCAAGCACCTCGATTGTTAGAACTTAAATATTTCTAAACAAAATGTTTGTTGAAGCAACATTTGAAATTCTTTTAATTTTACAATATTTTTTTAATTTTTCTTTAACTTTGAGTATTTATGGAAAAAAAAGAATGTTTCATAATTAAATTAAATTTGAAATAAATTATTCCTAAACATGAGCAATATAATTGAAGAAATAAAAAATAAAAATTCGTTCAGTTGAAATAAGAAGAAATGAGAAAAAAAACAAATATTTCTTTTTAGAAAATTTTTGATACAATTAGAGGACAATGCATTAGACAAAATGAGTTTAACTGATTTAATTTTTAATTATTTAAATTCAAATGGATCAAATTGGTTAGAAAAACCACCAGGAACGTAGCTTCCTAATTGCGGGCAAAAATTAAGCCAATTAGTGAAAAATGACCGCAATTTGGAAAGAGTGAAATTTTATTTTCTCATTTTTATTGTGTTTCCAAATTGCGGTCACTTTTCAATTAAGCAATCAACAAACATATAATGATTGCTAAATATTTATATATTTGTTAATTGACATAACCAATACATGCACAAAAAATTTACTCTTCGTCAATTACTATCTATAGCATCTTTTGAAATATCTACATATCGATGAGAAATACTTGGTAAGACTTTTTGATATGCATTAAAGTCTTAATCAAGAATATATTTGATTTTTTCTAGTTTACGCTTTTCATCGTCGGGTATATTTTTCGCTGTTCTTGGTCGTGTTGTGTGCTTTTGAGCCTGTTCTTACTCGATCTAAAAAATTCTTGTACAAAAGTGCTTTTTCTCCTTTTTGAGTTGTCGACCAAGTGAACTCAGCATCCAGTGTGTCAAATGAAATATACCCTTTTTCTCATACTTTTATATTTATCAATCATACAAACAATCATGATCCAATGTCGCAATAACTAATCAATTAGAAAGTGACCGCAATTTGGAAACGCAATAAAAATGAGAAAATAAAAATTCACTCTTTCCAAATTGCGGTCATTTTTCACTAATTGGCTTAATTTTTGCCCGCAATTAAGACGTAGCCACCAGGAAATGTAACATTTGAAGGAACATCCTTTGCTGCATTAATTGTTGAACGTGTATTAAATATGTCTTATGAAGAATATACCAAAGAAAAAATTCTTAAACCATTAAATATCGATCTGACTCAATCAGGTTTTCGATTAGCTGATGTTAAAAATCGAGATGATCTTGTATACCCAGGTCGAACAGTACGGTCCGTATACGGCCATCGACGGTTACTTTACGACTATTTTACGGCCGAAAGTTTGCCGTAATATCTGGCGCAGTATACGTACCGTATTATCATGAGAGTACAGAGCACAAACAGCCGTAAACCATGAAAATTCAGTCCCGTTTACGGTGCCGTATTACTGCGCCAGGTATTACGGGCAAATACGGCCTATTTACTGCCGTAAATATACCGTTATGACATCGTTTACCGTCGATAAACAGACCGCAAACGAGTCCGTTTTGATCAACCTGGGTACATATGCTCTTAATTCTTCATATCTAGACGAATGGAAGCAAGGTTTACCACATTTGAATATAACACAAGTTATGGTACCCAGGGCGAGAAACCAGACGGAATGATCTTACAAGAATCGTACGTTTGATCATATCTGATCTGATAAGATCAGACGAAAAATCGTACGCAAAATCGTCGTCTCTGATTTCTTACACTAAGTCGTATCAGAAGATTCTTGAAAGATTCTTGAAAGGTTCTTTTACCCATGAAATATCACTGTGATATTTTAATTAAACTAATATCTCCGTAAAATATCACGACAAATTTGTATTGAAAATAAATTGCATGTGTGATCTTTAAAGAAAATATAGTATGATCTGATGCAAGATTTCAGAGACGACGATTTTTTGTCTGATGCTTATAAGATTTCGTTCGAATGGTAAGATCCGACGTCCGGATTGCAAGATCTTACGTCAGATTTTTCGACCTGGGTAGATTTAATTCAATTTGAGAATTTTATTTTTAAAAAGTTTTGTTTATATGATTTATCCAAGTTTATTGCATATTTCATTTTTCATTTTTCCTACTTATCCTGCTGGTCTTTTAAGAATGTTAGCACATGATCTATCGAAATTTCTTCGCATGTTGATGAATAATGGATATCCTCTTCTTCATTCGTTTTCAATTATTGAAATAAAAAAAGTTGTTGATGATGAAAATATTTGTCAATATAATCCAGCAAATACTAATAATTCATTTCCACCATCAATACAATTTGGTCTTGTTTGGAATTGGAGAATAATGGATGATAGTCGAAGATTTATTTGTCAACGTGGGACGAATTTAGATTCAACACATTTAATGATGATTAATGATAAAAATACTATTGAAGTTATTATTTTATCAAATGGGAATAGGACTTTAGAAAATCAATTCTCGACGAAAGTTTATAATACATTGGCGAATATTCAATTAATGCTTTTTGATTGTCTTGAAAGTAAAATTTAACAATTCTTCGAGCATTGGGAAAACTACTTCATTGGTTTTACTTTTATTTTGCTATTTTTTTATTTATTAAAAAACTGTTTAAAATCAACGCCATTGACATAACTTGATATCAATAAAATTAAAATATACAATTATTGGGATTCGTTTTCACTTCGATATATTTGATTTCATGTATTGACCCCATTAATCCTAATAACCAAGTCAGAAACTTTCGCTGCTGAAACCATGATTATCAGATCATCATGAAGACTGTTCATTGAAACAAACAACGACCAACAGATCCCACTGAAGAAATGATATGAAGTCAAATTCGTCTGCGAAATAGTATCCTAAGTGCTTTGTTACTTTGAAGCTGTTTTGAGAGTTGTTAGTTTCATCCGTCTATTGTATTCAGCTCAAGGGGGGGAAAAGCGTATTTCTGTATTTCCATTTATTTCGAAATACTTTCTGTGTATTTCTATGTATTTCTGTGTATTTCTATATGTTTCTATGTATGTCTATGTATTTCTGTGTATTTCCATGTATTTCTATGTATTTCCATGTATTTCTATTTATTTCAATGTATTTCTGTATTTCTGAAATACATTGAAATACGCCTTTTCCCCCTTGGGTTCTTATCATCTTGTACCAACTTATGTTTAGTTTTTTTTATCTTTCAAGCGACCAGAAAGAGCTCGATCATATGATTTTTTTTTGGTTTTCATATTTATTTCTAATTCCAAGTGTTGTTTATTTTATTTTTCTTCACAAATAAACTTAAGAACGATATGAAAAATCTATTGTTCAGTTTCTAATACAGTCGGAGTTAACTTTTCTTTTACTCATCTTCTCTTTTTTTAAGATCATCATCAAAACAATGTCTGTCAAAGGTCTTTTTATATTAGTCACAGATGGAGTGAAAGAAGAAAAGGTTGCAGTACACAATAATAGTGTCAGCAACAGTTTATTATGTGGAATTTTCAAAACGAATATTGTCGGTTTACAATGTATTGATACCAGGTCAAATGCTGAAAGTATCTTGTGAGTTTCTAAAAAATCTAAGTAGTATAGAAATCAATTTTTGTTATTCTTTTATTTAGTATTGGTTGTGTTGCCTGTCAATATGCTGTAACCGTAGAAGAACACTTAATTTACAGAATAATTATCGAGTATAAAGGTAAATGAGCATTCATAGTTAAATAGAATGAATATTCTGCAGATCTCAATTCTGAATAAAAGCTATTTCGAATTTATGTGAAGTACTAAATTTCTTTCTTATTGTTTAGAAAAAACATCTAATGTTGAACCAAAATTAACTGAATCGAATGATCAAGTTAGTTCTGTACCTTCAACGAGAGAAAAAAGTCTTACACCAACAAATGATATTAATAGAGCAGAATTTAATCAATTAGTATCAACATTTGATGAGAAGCTTAAGAATTTAAGTACAAATTTTGATAATCAACTCAAGGATCTAACAACAAATATTGATACAAAATTCAATAATTGTAAGTTTTTTCAACAACTCCTTATAATGTACATAATAAAAATATGTCATATAATCTCTTTGTTTAGTATCAAATGAACTTAATTTACTCTTCGAACTTGTTCAACCTACTATTGGACGAGCAATTGATCCATGTGATGTAACTGCAAGATCACAAGGTTCATCTGGTAACAGTTTACCAAAACAAGTTATAAACAAGTTTTATAATATAAATGAAAATGAGTGTATGATTTGTGGTTCATGTAATGATGTTGTAAATGCTCATATATGGCCAAAGCATACACATGGTGAACATTTACTATCAATGTTTAATTTATCAAATGATGGTTTAAATGATCCAAGAAATTATTTAAGATTAGCAAAATCACTTGAACTTGCTTTTGATAATAAATCCTTAACCATTATTATCCAAAATGGACAATTGGTACTATATGTATTAGATGATATGCTCAAAAAACAACGAGTATCTAATACAAGATATACATTTAAAGATTGCCACTTATGGCCTTTAAATTTTGGCAATGATAACCGACCGTTCTTCAGAATTTTGGCAGCTCATTGTAGAAATTCGTTTATTGACGCATTTCGTTTACAAAAAATTAACTATGAAACATACAAATGGGGCTATAATAGCTCAATTATTATGTTAAATACATCACCTGATGGGAACAAAGCTAAAATTTTTGATTGGCTTGAACGGAATGAAAAGATAATAAAAAAGAAAGAAAAATCATAATATTTTTATTTATTTGTTTTTAATTTCTTTTGAACAAAAATAAAAAATCTTGATTTATTTGTTTTGTTTTTCAGATAAACGTAATGCCAATTGTTAAATCAGCATCAACAATAAGTAATCAACAAAAAATGAAGCACTTGATTGTCTTCATGAATGATCACATTATTAAATACTGGTTTAGATAAAAAAAATTTTAACAGCATGTATTAGATGATTTGAAGTTGGTGTTCATTCTGATGCTATTGCACAAATTATTCAAGTTCTTAAAATATAGATCTTTTATTTTTTTCTTGTATATTCACTTCTTAAATATCATTGAATACAACTTTTAATAATGAATGATTAAAATGATTTTTCTAATTATTCTCTAAAATAAATATCAACACGACAATAATATATAGAATAAAAAGAATTTGTTCATTGGCTAGACGGATAAAGACCTTGAACTAAAGATCAACGTGGTGATTTTCCTATGACACAAACGAAACAAATTTGAATCAAGGAAATTATCAAACAAGATAGATCGAGGACTTCAGTAAAATTTGAAATTTGGCAATCGGCAAGAAAACAATTTGACAAGATATTCACTGATTTAATGCATGCTGTTCAATTTTTTGTTGATGAGTTTTCATCGAACTTAAAAAAAAGAATTTATAACATAAACTAATGCAAAATAAAAAGACAAATAAAATAGATAAACTGAAGTTCATACCAGATAAATGTAGATATCTTTATTTCTGTAATAAATTGTTCAACTTGAAGAGTTCATCAAATTTTACTTTTATTTTCTATTGAATGACTCACCAATAATAAAAATTGTGAAAAATCAATTTGAATTTGTTTTGATGAAGAATTTATACGAGATATTAATACTCCTGACAGATTTTCTCATGTTTATCACTTAATGTTCTTCATTATGACGTTCTTTATCAGTGTTTTATCCAGCGGAAGGGCAAGGGACCTTTTGCCCTCCCAGACAACCGTTTGCCCTCCCGAGAAAAATGAAATAAATAATTAACTTTTATATAACTTACGAAACACAAATCTTTTGAAAGCATCAGTATAATAGACTCCATATTACTCATGGCAGTTCGCCCCTTAAAAAAGTTTTGTCTGCCCTACCGACAACTGAATTCGCCCTCCCCCGAGTGAAAAACCTGGATAAAACACTGTTCTTTATGATTGCGTTAAATAAAACAAATGGATAATATCTTTAATGAAACTCTATTATTTCAATTTAATTAGAAATGAATAACATAAAACTATTAATTTCTCATTTTGTTTTTTTCTTAAGGAACTCGTTTTTGAGATAATTTGATTAGATTCATTTCATTGATTGAACATTTTAAATCATAAATTTTCATGAAAGATGCTTTATTATATAAATAATGGCACTTCTCTACAACTAAATATTGTTTGTGTTCATCATAGAAAAAAAAGATCAATTGCACAATAATATCAACAAGACAAGAAAAAAAGTTTCAAAATAGGAAAGATATAGAGAGATTCTTTACGAAATACACTAGATTTTTATCATCACAAAAGATATCAAAAAAATATAAACAATGAAAGAGAAATTCAGAAAAAAAAGAATGGCAAAAACTAACTAGAGAATTACAAAATAGGTTAATCAACCGTGAAAATCGAATTCTAGAACCTTTGGTACAAAAAAAAAGAATAAAGAGAAAATCCATACTGTATGAAAAATGAAAGAAGAAAAAAACATCGTTATTTAAATCGTTATGGTAAATTCAATCGGATAAGGACCAAAAAATGGTTCGTCAAGTTCAGTCAAAATAACATAAGTACGTCGTACTGGAAGTTCAGATGTTGTTAATGAGTCAGACATGACGAATGGAATATTTTCATTTTCATTTCTTTCAGAATCAAATGATATACTCAATGATGAGTTGGATAATGTTGGTGGTAAAACAAGATTATTACTGTTCGCAGATACCATTGAAGTGATTGGTGATAATGATGGTGTTACATTTGCTACTGACTCTATGATCTATTGAATTATATATATTTAGCTGTATAATATTGTTTGTAATAGTTAATAAAAACAAACCTCTGATAATGGCATTTGAGATGAACTATCATTTATGTGATTGACTTTTATTTGACTATCATTATTCGTTAATAAAGGTGGATTCGATGCATTCGAATATTGATCATCACTTTGAAAATTAAAAAAAATCACTAGAATATAATGGAGTTTTATTATCAAAATTTTCAACTCACAGTTGATGGTAATGGTCAATTAATTGACGATGAATAGTTTCTTCTAAATAATGAATTAAAAATAAAAATAAAAATAGAGAGAAATTTGTTTTTATAAAAAACTGACGCAGATCATTATCTGTCACTGATATTGACGATGAATGTTCATCATTCGTACGTGTTGTTACACATGATGAACAAACACATTTTATTGGTGCTCGACGAATACGTGATGATCGACGAAGTGGTGCAATCTTCTTTGATGAACTATTTAAACACAAAAAGAATTATTGAAAAAAATCCTTTAATAGAATAAATAAAATCACTTTTTATCAATAAATCTTGGTGTTATCCAATGTTTGCAAAAATACAACAGATCATTTACAAAGGCTCGACTGTATTTATGATTTCCATTCAATGTAACAATATTCTGATTTGTTTCATTTAATGATCTACTGATTTGAGAATCATTTTCTAATGAAAGAAGAAAAAAAGCTTTTTATTTTAATATTTTTATGCAATGATAAAGCGAATACCATCATTAGAAAATGTATCAGTATCATTATAACTTTTTGTAAATAGGTCATCAATTCCTTGTTCTTTCAGTTTCTTTTTAACAAATGATAGTTTTGATGATTCAATCATATTTAACCATAAATGTTCAATAAATTGTACAGCAATCGAATAATGTTTAAAGTAAGGACGAAATTGAGAAAAATATTCTCTATAAAAATTTTCTTTTAAAATTATAAAAATAGTTTCTTGAATTTATTTACTTATGAAAAAGATCAAAGGCTCGTTCATCAGATGATTTTTCATTTTCGACAAATGCAGAGTCTTGAATGAAGAAAAAAAACAATGAACTTATTTCATTAATAATAATTGAGAATAACCTTCTGAAGATTGACGACAAAATTTTTTGTTCACTCGTCCATTTAAAGATGTAAGAAATCCTTGATTTTCATTGTCCAAACGAACACGTTTAAGTGGATGACGACGAGATGATTGATTATGATGTTTACTAGTCATGTTTAATGTAATCTGTAGAATAACATAAAGATAATAAGAAAATCTAATTTGTTTTTCTCTGTTTTCTTTGCACGACCGATCCACATGTATATATAAATTTTATTCAACCCTGGACGATGAATAAAACAATGATCATCATATGAAGGACACTATCTTATCGTTAGACATTGTTTGTACTGGAAAATCTTTCACTGAATATTTGTTTTTATATCACAGAAATAGTCTATAGATTAATCATCAATTATTAATAAAAATACAAACAATTACCCAAAAGATATAATTATATATTTAACATATCTATGAAATGCTCTATTCGTTTACATGGGGGAAACGTTCGAATTTCGATTGAAATAATCATCGAATGGTTTTTACATAGTTACAGTGATAAATATTGAAGTAAAAATATGAATTGTAAATACTGATATAGATAGGGAAAAGAAAGTATTTCTAATTTTGATTGTCTTGTTAACTATAAATGTATTCTTATTTCATAGAGATGATAGATTGATGTCAAAATGAATATTAGATGTTATGATAATGAATCTTCATTTTAATTATTATCATTAGTAAAGATGATGAGTGAATTGCATGTATGAGAAACTTTCTAATGATGGAATGTCTAAAAATGATCAAAGAATATATTCGTCTTCTAATGCAAAGGTACATATAAATCTACTCTCTAAAGAAAAGAAGTTTTAAACTAGATTGATAAACAATTCAATCGGACGACTAAATGAAAAATATACTATTCAACAGATTCCAAACAATGATTGTATAAAATTACTTTGAACCGATGTTAAATATCATTGATTCGAAGAATACTCGCTAAATACTAGTTACTTTTGGCTGTTATCTTCAAAGTGTTGATTACAGTAAATCACTTCGAAGTAGGTTTTGATGAAATCAATAATTCATTATATAGTTTAAGAGATTTAAGCTCTCATGAAATGAAACTTCAAAGAATAATAATTACAACCAGGAATTATTGACTAGAAAACAAATGATTCTTTTATTCGAACAGAATTTATAGCATTAATATTTCCTGTCATTGTATCAAGCACATTTGTAGTAAAGAATTTTAAAAAATTTCCTACGATAAATGATTATATGTTAAGTATTAGCATTGATTATAGATCAAGCAGTTTATATTTATATCAAAATTATATCTGATTGAATTTCGTTTGACTCGTTCTAAAACACTTATACTTGATTTTGAAGAAACTATGAAATAGTTCTACAGCATTTCTATAAAAATAAACGGTATTAATATTCATCTAGAAGCATAAGATTAAAGACAATTAATTTGGAAATGTATTAATGATGCTTGATATAATTTTCATATGTTATTTGAAAAACTGACCATGTAAATTTTCATGCATAGAAGTCACTTATTTGAATTATACTTTTGAATTGTTACAAACATAGATCCTTCATTAAATAAATAAATTAAAACGCTAAATATGAATATTATTAAGTTAAATTGCATTATATATTCTCTGTATGGTACTGGAAAATACACTAAAATAAAATATGATTCACAATTTTTTTCATTGTTGTTTGAGTAGAAAATGGTCATAGGGCGTTATTATATTAATTAATCATCGTTTTGTGAGTAATTATATGCTATTTCTTTCCCATGTATATATCATGTTTTTAGTCATCCTATGGAAATTGAATCTGTGTGTAACATCATAATCATCACAATGCTGAGATTTTATCTAATATCGATTCTAAAGGCAAGCATATCGAAATTCTCATTTAATAAATAAATAAAAATAAACTGAAATAAAATCTGTATAATTAAATGTCGGTATATAATTATCTAAACATTTATAATTTTACTATTATCAAAACTGATATTATAAATTAAGAGTCGTTGAAAATTATTTATAGCTTTTATATCTTTTTGTTAGTCATATCTTATTGCGAAGAAAAGTTACCAAAAAAAGAATTTTCAATTCTCTTGTATAATATAGACTATTTACACGTGATGAGTTCAACTATTTTTTTTATGTTCGCGTTATCATAGCTTTGTAACTTACAGTACAGAAAAACAATAAAACTCATATTTCAGTAGTTTTAGAAGAAACAATTGTCAATTTAACTTGACAATAATGCATGCGCTGACTTTTTGTTAGATTCAAATAAAAATGTATCTTTGATATACTTTTGATGACAAAACATGCCACATAAATATCAAACATCTACTCAGTTTTCGCTAATATTTCTATTATTGAACGCAAATGATAAGTATCAATATGTAAGATGATTTTGACTCAACAGAATTTAATCATGATACGATTAAAACATCTTTGAGATGACTTTAATCATTGTTAACTATAGAAGTTAAATATCATTTTGAGAATTGGAGAATTTTACTGTCTTTACGTTTAAACTTTTATTGCATACAGTTTCTGTTAATGATCTCGAATAAATATGTTCAATACTGATGATGAATAAGAAATAAAAAATACTACAAATAAAAACAAAACTGATTCGCGAAAACAAAAAAAAGGATATCAACATTCTTAATATATATATACAACTCAAAACGACAAAACTTTCAATATTTATTTACTTAAATCATCATCATTAAAGAGAAAAATTTTATATACATTTCAAAATTATAAACAATGTTTTAGTTAACCATAGACTGATTCATCGCTGTAAGCAACATACAAAAATTTATCTTCATCAGCCTAAAATACAAAAACAAAATATTTTAATTGCTTCACGAAACTTAGTTAATTTGAATACGAACATGCTGTTGATAAAGTGCTCCCATAGTTATCGATGTACTTGGAATCGTCTACGAAAAGTAAAAAGCAATACAAAAGTAGGAATAAAAAGAATTCAAATTTACATTATTAACAAAGAAAAAAAGTGCATCTTCAGGTCGAAGTTGTATTCGTTTACGAATCAAAAAATAAAATTGACCAACCTTTAAAAAAAAAATCAGTTAAATACATAGAAATTGAAAATTTATTTGAAAAAATCAATTACTGTAAGATCATTGGGTACTAAATATTTTTTTGATGGAAGATCTGAAATACGTGAATTTGGTGCTCGTTCAACAATAACTGCACATCGATCCGAATATTCACGACGAATACGTTCACCTGCAACCAATAAAATACATTTCATTCAATTCAATGCAATAAAAAGTAAATATTAATTACCTTCTGCTCGTCGACTTTCGTAGGTGTTATTTGCTTTGAATTCCCAGCGCATTTTTAATAAATTTGTTTATTCGATACAATCTAAAATTGACGTCAGTTCGAAGAAAAAGATATCTTTAGTAAAATGAAATGTATTCAGCAAATGTGTTACTCATATAACGCGTAATTTCATCAGTTGACATGAATCGACATCCTTTTAAACTATGTCCAGAGAGAGCACATGACTGGGGTTTTTGAAGCACTAATGCATTTTGATGACTTATATATAAATAAATATATATATGTGTGTGTATGTATGTAAATAGGATTTGTTTTTGATTGGCAAAAGTATGTACCAATAAAATTCACTCAAATCTTGTTTGTTTGTTTATAAGTCCTTCGTCTCCTGTATGACATCTAATCTAAATATTGATCGTCGAACCTTTACTTTTCTCTTAATCGAAAGAAAATTATGGTTAATTACGCGTAGGTGAATCAAATGCATTTATTTATTATTTTAGAATAATTTTTTTTCGCATTTTACTCTATCCTTTCTTTTTCTAAATGATCAAATTTCGATATATTTTTAAGTATCAGACGTATTGAGACATTGTTTGTGTTGATTTAAAACAAGAAAATTGACATTTATTTTCTTTGCAGAGTTTTTTCTGCGACGTATTATAACTAAATATCAATATGTACAAGTTTTTTTGTTATTCTTTACAATAGTGACTACTTCAAGGTAAAAATTGAAGGAAAAATAATTTTGTTCTAAAGTTCAGGTTGATTGCGTTTATAAATGTATGGCTAAAGTGTGTTTGGACAAGAAATGTTAAATGAGACGTTTGTAATTATTATTTTTATTATTGATGTCATCAGGAACGTTTCGAGAGAAGCATTGGCGTATGTGCATGTGTTTATTGATCCTTCGAGATTAACGAGAGGAAATCTGTGTAATTCTACCAAATAGGCACAGCAGACGAACTGCTCTACAATGCTTCAGATCATTCATCTCGTAAGATGAATTTTTGAGAAAACGACAGCAAAGTATGTAGAGAGAAAAAAAAAGACAAGTGCCTATGTATAAGAGATTCCATGATAACCATAATCTTATGTCATCAATTATAGACGATTCTAATTAAAATATTTTTTTTTGCTATACTTTATTTCAGATAAAATTATTATCTGTCATCAATCTATAGATTGATTCTTGTCTTCAGGAATTGTGTATACATCTTTATATATATATCTGCATTTAATTTGAGGTAAATTCACAATCATCGTCGAAGAAACAAAAGTATTTGTCTATTGTTTGTATAACAATAAGATGTATATAAATATCGTCAATTTAGATTGATCATTACAATAATAAAAAATTATTGTGACGTGAGTTTTTCTTTTTTCCTCGATCAACATTATTGGCGTTGTCGAATATTTTCAACATAGGTATATAGATTAATCAATTTATGATAGTGATGCTTATTATGATATGAGTTGTCGTTGTGCAGAGGAAGAAGAAGTTATATTTTTTCTCTTTCCTTCTCGTTCTCCATCTAGACATACTGATATAAACTATAATACATCGTTGGTTAGGCCAATGCTTAATAAGCACGGAGGATTGTTGTTTTTCTTCGGGACAAAAATAAGATATATAGAACTAAGGTATCTTATAGATAGAAATAAATAAATAACTGAGAAATAAATAAGAATAATTTAATAAATAATTGTATTTTTCTGATTGTATAGTATAAACAATTATGACTGATTTCTACGAAATACTCGAAATTGAAAAAACAGCTACTGATGATGAAGTAAAAAAAGCGTAAGTTTGATAAATATAAATAAATATATACATATATAGTATTAAATTATCTTTTTTATTATTTTAGATATCGTCGATTAGCTTTAAAAGTAAATAAATTGATAATTTGCAATTTTCTCAAATTATTTTCTTTAGTGGCATCCTGATAAAAATCTTTCAAATAAAAAACAAGCTGAAGAAAAATTTAAATTAATATCGGAAGCTTATGAAGTTATATCTGATAGTAAGTTAAATAAAAACAAAAATAAAAATCTTGAATTCTGAAAAATTATCAGCAATAGTCATCTTTATTGTTTCTGTATATATATATATGTATTATATTCGTTTTCACTAATGAAGTAATTTGGTTTTAACTTTTCATGTCACATTTAAAAACAAGAATAAGAATTGCAAATAATATTTATCATTTCTGTTTCATAAGATCTTGATATGATATTCTTTTTTCTTGAATAACATTTGAATAAAACTCACCAAATTTGCTTATTGATGAAAGTAAAGACTAAATTTGATTTAACTTATGAAAGAACGATTAATCTTCTAAATTTTTTCAAAATAGTTTTACTTTCATATTTTATCTGTAGCTATTATTTAGCTAGTTAGTTAAAGCATTTCAATTATTTTGAATTCAAATTTTCATAGGCATTATGAAAAAGTAAATATTGAAGATGACTATTGTTTTTGTTTTTATGATCAATACGCGGCCAATTTTGAATTTGAACTAATTTCTAGAGGAAAAACGTCGAAAATATGACCTGTTAGGACGAGCAGGTTTATCAAATAATCACAGCAATAATTCACATTCATCTAATGGTGGTTATTCAAGATTTTCAGAAGATTTTCTTAATCGTACATTTCATTTTCACAATCCATTTGATATATTCGAACAATTTATGTCTCATTTTGGTGGAATGGATGATGATTTCGGTAAGTGTTTCATATATTTTATTAAAATTAAATTAAATAGAAAGATTTTTAAAATGAAATCATATTTTTACATTTCGAATCGATTCGTTTAGACAAATGGACACGTCAAGTTTTTCATTTTGGTGAGAGATACAGAGAATACAGAAAAAAAACGATAACGTCGTTTTATTTATGTTCTCAAAATTTTAATGTTCTTTCTCAATCTATCGTGTCCCTGAATGATATTTGTATTACGCATGAGATGAACGATTGATATTTACCAGACCTATTTCATATGTTAAAAGTTTATAAAAATAAAATTTTCTATTTTTAGGTTTTGGCAGGAATCCATTCGCTGATTTTCATCATCCTCATAGTCGTTTTGGAAATTATAGTTCATCATCGTCATCACGGCGTGACCCCCATCGACATCAAATGGCATTATTTGATAGTATGTTCTCACCTATGCGAATGTCTTTATTTGATCGTGATTCATTTGGACATGATTTGAGCGGAAATCATGTTGGATCAATAACATCAGTTAATTTTTCATTTGGGTTCGTTTTGATTCGTTTTTAAAAGCATATTCATTTCAATGTTTTTCTTGTATTAGTAGTGGAAATGCTCGACCCATATCAAAGAAAACAACAAAATCAACTAAAATAGTCAATGGTCGTCGCGTTGTCACTACAAGGTACAAAGAAAGAAACAATTTTTTTTCTGCCAATATCTCACTATTTTATTCGATTGCAGAGTAGAAGAAAACGATCAAACAACAGAAACAATTGAAGAAGATGGTCGATTAACATCACGAAAAGTGAATGGAGTTTTACAAGCAATTAAATGAACAATCAAAATAGAACGGAACACTCTCATTCCGGAACAGTTTAAATAGAATAAATTCTTCTACGTATATATATATATATTTGAATATATTGAAAAACTTTTAATTTCTCTTTCTCTATGATTTATGTGTTGCTGTATCGAAGAGAAAGATTAACTTCATTTTTCTGTTTTTATCAGTTGAAATATTCGTCCTTTCGTTTTTTTTTCTTCTGATTCAAATGTTATTCTATCTATGCTCATCGTTTTCTTTTTCTTCTTTGATGTGTTTTTTTTTTGGTTCGTAGTATATGAGATATTTGTCATTATTAAAAGAACAAAAACGAAGATAATATTTATATTTAATTCAGTTTTAGATAGGGTAATATGAATAATACAAACACAAATCAATTAGTACATGGTTTAAAACTTGAAAATTTGTCTTCATCGACTGAATTGTCAGCAGAAAAAGTTCAAGATTTACAAGCAGCTTTCAGTCTTATGGATTCACAATCAAAAGGTTATGTATGTCCAAACGATATAATTCGAATTGCGGAAGCCGCAGGTAGTTATAGTCACTATCAAACAGAAGAGAGAAAAACTAAAATAGATGTCGAATGCTCTTATTGAAAGATATGAAATTCGCTGAAAACGAAGCTCAATTATTAGTTGGTTCAGCTGATGAAGATCATTCAGGTGGCATCGACATGAGAGAATTTATATCAATTATGACAACATCTGTTAATCCACAAGATTTGGAAGAAGAACTGCGACAAACATTCCAAACTTTTGATAAAGATGGAAGTGGAACCATTAATGCTAATGAACTGAAAAGATTTGTTAGAGTAAGTTTAATTGGAATTAATTTAAAATAAGAAATTACTATTATTTTAGTTATGGGATAATGAATTAACTGAAGATGAACCTGTATTTAGTTTTTTTGCAATTTGTTTAAAAAAAATAAAAAAATTGAACACCTATTAAATAGTACATCATACTTGGTCAATATTCATAGTCGCTTGTAATGAAGCCAAGAGTATGTTGGATTTGAAAAATTCAAATCATTAAAGTAAACACGTGAAAAAATAACTCGTTCGAACAATTTGAAAACGAAAAGAGAAAATGTTCATTGTTGCTTCTGATTTTTCTTATGTAGTGTGAATGAAATTTCTGTATATCATATTCAACTATTCATATATGAAATAATAATGAATTTCGTCTTATTCTTATGTTTCTGAGTTTCAAGTAATAATTTGAATAAACGGACTTTCTTTCTACTCATGTAGTTGGCTAGCTCATTCTCGATTTCTATTAAATGTTTTTCGATTCATTGGCTTATGATGTTCTTCAAATTTCGATTCTATTATACTGGAGTAAAATGTAACCAAGTGGGAAAAACTTTGGCTTGTGCAATTTTCAAATGAAATGCTGCAGTTACATTCGATATAATAATGAATTCGTTCGATTCTATTGCAGAAAAAGCAAATTTTTATATCAAGTTTCTGTTGAATTGTATCGAGGTAAAGTGTTTTTTCCTTAATCATTTCATTCATTCATTTTTCATTCATTCGACTGCAAATAACCTGGGTTTGCAGGCGACAACAATCTTACGCCATTCTTCCCTATTGACAGCAGTCTTCCGGATTTCTTCGATGGTTGGTGGTGTGTCGTTGTTGATCAGTCTTGCGACGTAATCAGGATAGTTTAAGCGTGGGCGACCACGTTTCCGTGTTCCATGGCCAGATTTTGGTGTGTATAGAGCATACATGTTAATGAATTCGTTTGTATTACGGCGAAGACAGTGTCCAATGTAGCGTAGTTGTCGTCGTTGTATTGTTTGTGTTAAAGGTTCTTCTTTGATTGTTTCATATACGATGTTGTTTTTAATCTTGTCCGTTCGTTTGATGCCGAGCATTATCCTGTAACAGCTAGTAGCGAAACTGTTTAAGGTATTCTCGAGCTTGTTTGTGATTATCCAGCTTTCACATCCATATAATAGTATTGAAAGGCATGTAGTTTTGAATATGTTAATTTTGAGTTTGATTGGTATTGTTGTTGATTTCCATATATTTTTTAATTTCCAAAAGGCTTTCCACGCTTGGCTTTTTCTTACTTTGATGTCTGTGGTGGTAGATAGCATCATTGAACCGAGGTATTTGAAGTTGTCGACCCATTTAATGTTCTGTCCATCAAGTTGTATTGTTTGGTTGGTTGTGTTTTGGTTGGTTAATGCTTGAGTTTTCGTGATGTTGATTTGTAGACCCACTTCGCTAGCTCTCTTCGCTGTTTGAACGAGCTGTGATTGTGCTCTATCGAAACTATTTTCCAGGAGAGCTATGTCGTCGGCGAAGTCAAGGTCATGTACACATGTTGGTGGTTGTCGACTGGATTGTCTCTTGTTTGTTACGAAGCCATATTCTCCATGTTCGTTTGTGTGATATAGTTGAGCATTTTTCATTACGTAGTCGATCACTGTTATGAAAAGGTATGGTGCTAAGGTGTCTCCTTGGAGAACACCAGTCGTTACGTCGAATTCTTCAGAGACGTTGCCGTCTACGAGAACTACACTTTTGGAATTATGGTATATGGCTTCGATTGCACATACTATTTTAGTAGGCACCCCATAATGCCTTAAGATGTTGAACATTGTTTTCCTATTGATTGAGTCGAAAGCTTTTTTAAAGTCTACGAAGGTTATGTAGATTGGAAGTTGTTTGTCGATTGCGCTTTCGAGAATTCTACGTATGGCATGAATCTGATCAATGCATCTTCGTCCTTTCCTGAAACCTGCCTAATTTACTCTTAGAATCGAGTCAAGTGGTTCTCTTATTCTGTTTAACAGGATTCGATTATAGGTTTTTGCTGCTACTGACATAAGACTAATGCCTCTGTAGTTCGTTGTAAGCGTTTTGTCGCCTTTTTTTGGTATTGGTATTATGATGTTGGTGTTGAATTGTTTTGGCGTTTGTTGGTTGTTGTAGATTTCATTGCATATGCTACAAAGTTGATTCATAATCCATCTACCGCCGTATTTCAGTACTTCAGGTGTTATTGAATGGTCAATTCCAGGAGATTTCCCGTCTTTTAATTGATTTATTGCTTGTTCCACTTCGTTGATAGTTATTGGACCTTGGTTGATTGGTAGGTCTTCAGGAGCTGGTGGTATTGCTTGGTTGTTTGGGTTGATGTTTGTTTTAGCGTTAAGTAATTCTTCGAAATATGCTTTCCATTCATGCATGAGTTCGTTGGTTGAGTTAATTTTTGTACCATCTTTTCGTTTGATTTTTGATGTGTTGTAGCTTGTGCGTTTTCCACTGATTTCGTCGATCAGGGACCATGTAGTTCTTAGATGATTTGATACCATTGCTTGTTTGAGTTGTTCTAGTTTATCTTCTAAGAAATTGATTTTGTCGTTGTTGTACGATTCGTCGAGTTGTTTGTTGAGTATGTGCCAATGTTTTTTATTTTCTCTGCTTGGTTGTTGTTTGAATTTGGATTTGGCGCTGTTTCGTTTTTCCAGAAGATCGATAGTAGTGGTTGAAGCCCAGTTTTTCCGTTTTTTCCGAGTTGTTTTTCCAATGAGTTTTACTGTTGTGTCTTGTATACTAGTTATGAAATTGTCATATTTTGTTTGTATGTCGTGATCTGTGTTGATGTTCTGTAGGATTTCGTATCGATTTTGTACTTCAATGTTGAATTGGGCTTGTAGTACTGAGTTGGTTTTGAGTTTGTTCCAGTCGAACTTGATTCTTTTGTTTTTGTTTTGTTTCGGTGCTCGGAGGCTGATTGATAATTTTGCGCTGACAATGCGATGATCGGAGTTCAATTCAACTGTGTTATACGCGCGTACGTTTCGAATTGAGTTTAACCATTTCCCGTTTATGAGTATGTGATCAATTTGAGCCTTGGATTTACCATTTGGATGTAGCCAGGTCCATGATCTTGACTTTGGATGTGGAAACCGTGTTTGTGTTGATCGCATGTTGCAAGTTTCACAGTAGTTGATGAGTCGGTTGCCGTTGTCGTCGGTTAATTGATGGTATGTGTATTTACCAATTGTTCGTGGATTTGTTGTGTGACTGTCGGTTCCTATTCTTGCGTTGAGATCACCAGCAAGAATCAGGACGTTGTGTGGGGGAACATCGAGCGTACATTGCTGGAGATTGTTGTAGAAGGTGTCTTTTTCGATATCACTTTTGTCTTCCGTAGGTGCATATGCAATGATGATTGTTGTTGCTGGATTTCCATTAAAGTGTACCATCATAATGCGATTTGATACTTTTTCTGATGAGTTGAAAAATGCTGACATCCTGGGATTTATGAGTAAACCTATGCCACCATGTCCATCTGAGGTTGCTGAAGAATATTCAAATCGCCAGGTTTGATCATTGAGTATTGTGTAGCACGTATTGATTTGTTCTGTTGTTTGCCAACGATGTTCTTGAATTGCTACCAGGTCGATGTTGTTTTTGCTGCATCCGTATACGAGTTGGTGAAGTTTTCCAGTTTGTTTGAGAGTACGCACGTTGTAGATGGATATTGTGATGGCCTTGTGATGAATTTTTGTATTTTTGTGTTTTTATTTTTGTTTGTGTTTGTTCGGGTGACTAACCCTGAGATGCTTACCAGAGCCCATCTTGGCCGTCGTAAAACGACGTTTCCATCCGACACTGCGAGGAAGTGAAGGGTTGGGTTTTGTCGGACATGTATATAATATAAGATGATATTGATTATGATGATACAATACTTTCTATACTAATAACTATTTAAATGATACCCAATTTCATTGTTTTGAATAAAAAGCATTTTATTCTAAATCATTGCTATTGATTGTCAAAAATTCTCAAAGATTGCCAATGATTGTCAAAGATTGCCAATGATTGCCAATGATTGTCAAAGATTGCCAATGATTGCCAATGATTGCCAAAGATTGCCAATGATTGCTTTGATTGCAATCAGCTTTTTCCCCCTTGAGGTCTATATGTTAGTATAGATTAAGTTTACTTATGACTAAGAATTTATGCAACTTATTAGCCACTCTAAGTGTTAGAAAATTAATTATGCTGCCAAGATTCTTGATATTAATTATATTTGGACTCGAATAGTAGTAAAATAAAAGGAGATGTGCCGAGATGAGTTCGCCGAATGAATGATAAATTACTACAAAGAGCATCGTGCTTTTGTTTATCGCTCATGCGCTTAT